CAGCCACGCTAACGCATTCTACAGCCACGCTAACGCATTCTACAGCCACGCTAATGCATTCTATTGCCACGCTAATGCATTGTACAGCCACGCTAACGCATTCTACAGCCACGCTAACGCATTCTACAGCCACGCCTGTGACAAGAGCTTGGGCGAAGAGGTGAACAAGTGAAGTGAACCACTATGGCTTCTTGGTGGTGGATAGAGGTGAAGTCATGACAAGATACAATGCTGAAGGGGCAATGAAATGTTCTTCACATATTTCAGCACAGATGAATAAACTGGCAGCTGAACAGGAGCTCCAGATATACTGCAGTGAGGGACAGAGAGAGTTAGTGGTACCTCTCGTAGTATTACATTGACTATCTGACTAGTACACAGTACTAAACACGTAGGCCTTGCTTTTGTTTCTCTGATTTCCCAATGCTACTGAGGAGCAGGAAGAGACTGGAGCAGTGGGAAGTCACAAACTGTATGCGAAGAAACAATCCCCTGAATGTTACATGAAGAGGAATTCTCAATATGGCTTCAATTTCGTATTGCTTTCTTTTTAAACACATTATTTGTATACAAAATATATTGATCGCTTGATCATTTCTATACACAAACAATGGATATGTATCACAAACATATATCAGCAATATTAATATAATAACAGTATATCACCTCATCTATATTAGTGTCACAGTCTGACAGTCTAAGGCAGCATTTCCCAAACTAGGGGTCGCTTGATTTAAAAATGGGTTGGTGAGAGACTTTGTCGCTTTTATAGCAATGGTGGTAAACGGCACTGAGCAAGTAGAAAAAAAAAAAGTCAAGAAAGATTGACATCATTGTTTCTGCAGCTGAGCTATTTCTGGGATTAAAAGATTTAACATCTGAGGAGCTACACGGATTACTGACTCGTGCGGTCCCACTCTCTCAGGCCCCAAAGCCTGAACAGGGGATTTGAGGTTTCAAACGACTGAAGAGCGGGAATACATATAGATTAATTTTTTGTAAAAATGTTTGTGTAGTTTGTGTGGATTCATGTACATTTTCTCTTCCCCAGAGTGGAATCAACTTGTTTAGGGTGATTTTTTTCACCCGCGTCCAGTTGGTGGCGACAATACACCTTTTGCGTGTAGTTCACCAATAAATCCGAAGAAGAAGAAGGAAGTAACAAACCAGAGCGAATTTTGGCCCTGGTGAGGAGAACTATCAGTCAAAGAGGTCATGTTGGCATCAGTTCTGTGACACCATTGGAAGGGCGACACCTGTGGGAGAAGTGTGGGGGATGATTAAGAGGATGAGTGGGGTCAGAAGGGAGTGGGATTATCCAGTGTTGTTGAGTGGGGAGGATATGGCAGTAACAGATGAGAGAGGCACTGGATAAGGTATTGGGGCTGTAAAACAGAGTGTGGGAGGAGGGGAAACTACCAGGCAGCTGGAAGGAGGTAGTAGTGGGACCAATCCGGAAGCCAGGGAAGGACCCAACGAGGCCATCAAGCTATCAGCCAACAGCTTTAACATCACATGTATGTAAGATTATGGAATGTATGACTACAGAGAGGCTAACTTACTTCCTGGAGAGCAGGGGGTTAGTATCGTCACACCAGAGTGGGTTCAGGAAGGGGAACTATGGATCCAGTGCTCTGCTTAGAAGCAGAGGTCAGGAAGGCTCAGGTGAACAAGGAGACTGTTGTAGCTGTCATTTTTGATGTGGAGAAGGCATATGATACGTTGTGGAAGGAGGGGGTTGCTAATCAAGCTTGATATTATGGGGGTACGGGGAAGAACATACAACTGGATAAAGAACTTCCTGTTTGGAAGGACTATCCAGGTGAGGGTGGGGAAGTCTTTATCAGGCGGCTAGCTGGTGGATAACGATACATCGCAGGGGAGCGTGATTAGTCCTCTGTTGTTCTCAATCATGATCAATGATGTGTACTCTCAGGTACGGACGGATATTGGGAGGTCGTTATTTGCAGATGATGGGGCCTTATGGAAGAGGGGAAGAGATGTGCCATACATAGTCAGGAAGGTACAGGAAGCAATTGATGCGGTAGAGCAGTGGGCATTAATGTGGGGATTCAGGTTCTCTGTAGAGAACTCAGACAGTGTTCTTTACCCGGAGGAAGGTGGGAGATGAGGTACGCTTGAGGTTATATGGGAGAAGCTTGGAGACGGTGGGGGCCTTCAGGTTCCTTGGGGTGTACTTTGACACTAGACTGACCTGGGCGGAACACATTGAGAGAGTGGTGGGACAGTTTAAGAAGGTGCTAAATGTGATGCGCTGTCTGATGGGGAAGGAGTGGGTGGCTGGGTGTTCCTCATTGAGGACTATGTGCAGTATGTTGCATTGATCCGATCTGTAATAGACTATGGCAGTATAGCATATGGTTTGGCAGCCCGGACCTCACTGGAAAGGCTAGATGTCATACAGGGGCAAGGACTCAGAATATGTAGTGGGGCGTTTCGGACCTCCCCAGTGTCCACACTACAGGTGGAGATGGGGGATATGCCATTGGAAATTAGGAGACAGCAGCTGGCAATTAATTATTGGGTTAACCTACAGGGACATGAGGTGTCTCATTCTGCGAAATCGATTCTACAGGCATGCTGGGAACATGAGCGAGGACAGAACACAAGCTTTGGGTGGGTGGGTATTACCCAGGCGAGGGAGATGGGACTGTATGGAAGGGAGTTTAGCCCCACGGTAGCTATTCAACATGGCTACTCCCGCCTCCAGTAGTTGATCTAGAAGTGTTGGAGAGACTACCGAATGACAGGGAGGTTTGATCCATCTGATTTGTTTAATAGACGCATGAATACTGTATATCAGGATTTTGTGGCCATTTACACAGATGGTTCAAAAGATCCAAGGACAGGATGTACTGGGTCAGAATTTGTAGTGCAGGTATGTGGGGTGGCAGGCCGGAAACGTATTACAGATCACCTGGCTGTATATACGGCAGCGCTGAGGGCCGTACTGTTGGTCTTGCACTGGATGGAGGAAGTCAAGCCAGACAGAGTAGTTATTTGCTCTGACTCATTTGCAGTGTTGATGAGTCTGCAGTCATTTTGCTCACGTAGCAGAGAACACCTGTTGAATGAGGTACTACAAACTCATGGCAGGGTTAGACAGATGTTTACAGATAAGATTTATTTGGGTCCCAGCCCATGTGGGGGTGGAGGGGAACGAGGCAGCTGATGTACTGGCTAAACAAGCACTTAGTAGTGGGGGATGTTGATGTTATAGTTTCAATGAGCAAGGCAGAGGCAAAAAGCCCGATATGGACAGTGGTGGTGCAGAGATGGCAGGAGCAGTGGAACAGAGACACTAAGGGCAGGCGTCTATTCCAAGCACAGAGGAAAGTCGGGGAGGGGAGGACGGCAGAAAGAGACAGAAGAGAGGAGGCTATTTTTTATAAGACTAAGGCTGGGACACAGCCGGTTGAATAAGACCTTGAATGGGATAGGAAATCATCCAACAGGAAAGTGTGAATATTGCCAGGGAACAGAGACAGTGGAGCATGTACTGATACGGTGTGGGCAGTATGAGAGGAAAGGAGAGTGGCTGAGATCCAGTATGAAGGAGAAGGGGATACAGGAAATTAGTTTAAAGATGATACTGAGTAGAACGTCATTAGATATAGTGTCAAATATTTTGTTATATTTTTTAAGAGCAACGGGGCTGGCAGGTAGGATTTAGTTTCTCCCTGTCTCTGGCCCACACTCCAGTACGGTAGGTGGCGGTAATGCACCATAATGTTGGATGCCAATCGCCGATAAACCCCACTGAAGAAGAAGAAGAAGACGAAGAAGAATAATTTTCGTCGCGCGAAGAGAAGAGAATGCAGGCGGTGGTACGGAAACGTCAGATCAATGCGTCCCAGTCGTCAATAAACCCCAGGTTTGAACATTTTGCTTGTGATTCACGTGTTTATATAATCGGCAAGTATTTCATGTTCCCATCTAGCGGGCCATTGGTAGGAAGGCACCGTGCGTGTCTAAAGAGTCGCCCTGATAAGCCGAGGTGTCTCGGGCATTTGTCTATAAACGAAACGTAAACAGCTTTCTTTGCTTACTGAAATCTATACTTATATTAAACGTTAATCAAAAACAACCACTGACTGTTTGCTCATTGCTGTTGCTCTAAGACAGGGTTCCCCAACTGGGACATAAAACACTGTAAACCAGGAAATCAGCTTCAAGTGGTTTTAAACATGGGTACAAGGTGGGCGTTTCATAATTTAAATTATTTGAAGTATTGACATGGGCGAATTGATGTAGTCAGAGCTAGATTCCATAAATCCTGGTCTCGGGCTGCACTCTGTTGAAGTTTATCAGAAACTTCCTTCACCGTGAAGTTTAGTCTGCTAGGCTACTGTCAGACAGTTTCAGTAGGAAATATACTGTAAAGGCATAATCAGTCTGCCACTCAAAACTGCCCCCTTGGTTTCTAAACTAGGTTAGTTATTGCCTGTGCTTGCTGGCTGAAGTTCTTCTCGCCTTGTAATGTGCTCATGGTCAGTGTCATATGAGCAAGAAGAGGGAAGTTGTCAGCCTGTACTGCTTTCAGACGATGACGGCTGTGAAGGTTGTCAAGCACAGCTATACGACACCGTGTATCTTGGCTTTTATGTTGCCCATTATCATTAGCAGAGAGTTAGGAACAGATGGAACCTGTACAAGCAGATGGCTTGGAATGCATTGGACAGCGTATCCACCGTGGCAAACAGCCCACTGAATAACATGTATCGTATTTATTTACATGTCCTCGTCCTATTTCCCCCACTGGCGTTAACCTCGGAGGTTCATGGCCAACAAAAACAACATAATAATAGTGATGAATAATTCAGTAGGCTACATGAACAGAAATATAATTATAATGTTATTTAAGTGTATTCATTTAGGTGTAGGCCTACCACAGCACTGTTGCATCCCACATATTGGCTTAATGTCTTGGTCATACATTGTCATTCTGTATAATGTTGTTTTGGAGTTGGAGGGAATTCATACTTCACAATGTGTCTTTATCTAAAGCCAACCAGGGTCGAAGCCAAAAGGGTCATCAATGAAGAGGCCACAGTTCCACTTTGACCTGTGGTTCTATCTCACAGTGCAAAACTGGGTACTGGACTTTGGAAGGCCCATTGTAATGGTATGGTCAAACTGCTGGGCGATTCAACGCCAGGACAGCCCGAAAATATTTTGGGGTATCTCAGATTGTTCTGGCAATTCTTACATAGAAACGTCATTGGGGTGAAGGATATTTGACATGCTTTTTACATTTGTATCACAAACCGTTTTTGAGAAAATCATGATGAAAGTAGCCATTTTAGGCTTCCTCATATCCCAAAGAGGGATAAGCTTACCACACTGGGTGGAGTACGTTACTCCATAACAATGCAATACATCTTGAAGGAAATTATTGTTGACACAAATCCATTATGGATTACTTTAGTCAACCATATAAGGTTCATGTGGAGGTGTATTTGAACAGGGATGGCTGCTGCACATTTCCAGTCCCTCCACTCAAGTGCAGGTTAACTTTGTGTTGGTCTTTGTCAACAGAGTCATTTAGAGTTAGATTCCCATGACAAATGTTGTCTTAAAATTGTCATAACAAATCATAATGGAATGAACACGATCAAACATGATTTGATAGACTCTCTAATAGGTTGATAAACGTGTACTTCTATGATGCACAAACTATACCCTTTCATTCACATGTTTGGCCACACCATTTTGAACTATTGTAACAAACAAGCTAATCTATACGAAATGTAAGCCCTTTTTAGACCTATACATGCCTGCTGTAATGTAGTTTGGTTGAAATTATACAACCATTATGTAGAAATTATGTTGAACATAATAATAAATTACATTGATCAATCTGACACAAATATGATGTGAATAAATGCAACAGGCCCTGTGCGTCTCTGGAGGAATCTAGTCATGGTAGCGAGCATTACATCTCCTCTCAGTATGAAAATATAATGAACATGTGTCTAACTTGCACTGTTATCAAATTATTAAGAGACTAGATACATTTTACATTTTAGTCATTTAGCAGACGCTCTTATCCAGAGCGACTTACAGTTTAGTGAGTGAATACATTTTTCATACTGGCCCCCCGTGGGAAACGAACCCACAACCCTGGCGTTGCAAGCGCCATGCTTTACCAACTGAGTGACAGGGGACTAGCTTATCCTGGCGACCAATGTTCTAGCATGAATATATTGAGGCAAGCAGATCAGAGACGTGAAGGTGGAACCCAAGAATGTGCAGTGTATAGTGAAAATAACAACTGTCAATAGACCTAAATGATGAGCGTATAGTCAATCAAATAATTACTCTGTAGAACGAGGAATGCATTTACTCAATTCAACTAATAGAATGTATTAGTCACAAAAGAATGAACACTCAAACAATTGAGTGGACATGATACCTTCCAGAATACTCCGAGAAAATGACTGTCCCCAATAGGCTTAACGTGGTTACACGTGTCTTCAGTTCAGAATCATCTCTAAAAGAAAAAGCAGTGTGACACAGGAGCTTGCTAGCAAGTTCTCAAAGTATAAGTGAATTCACTGTCCTTTCAACCAAATGCAAGCACAAACTCACCCCCAACCTGAATGAACATTTCTTTGCACTTTTGCTAGTAAAAACAAAAGACAAGAAAACACACCCAGATACGAATCTAATCAACTGAATTTAAATTATAGGAGCGCACCCGTGTCGCTCCTCTTTGAGCTATCCGCCATCCGACGAACAAAACCTAAGTTTCCCTATAACAATAAATACATACCAATTAAACTACAATAAAACATAAACATTTGTAGCGTTTTATAAACTCTTGAAACAATCCAAACATGACAATTTAATTCACACGGTAACATTCATTTAGTCGATTCAAGTTTCATCAGTCTTCACACCTCTCCTGGCGTCAGTGACCCCAGGACTTCCATGTGATCCCCCGATAAGATGTGTTTGACCCCTGTGATAGCCCACGAATGGTCAGCCATCCAAACAATGTCATAAATCGTGATTGAGTCTTCACGCTGGGCCTCAGCGACAGCAAGTCGCTAGTCGCGAGTATCACCTTCTCTCATTCTTCCACTACAGTAAGACCCTATGATGCGTGAACCGTACATGATACAGACAACATCCTGGTGTCATTATACTCCTTAGTGTGTGCTCTAACATATGGAGGAGGGAATTGCCAGGGACCTCACGATACGATATTATCACCATGCTTAGGTGCCGATACGATATGTATTTCGATTCTCACGATTCTATAAGTATTGCGATTTGATACAGTATGTCTGGTGCGGAGAGATAAGCGAGAGCATGGGACAATGAGTTTTGATCAGTCATGGAAATAAAAGTGCTGAAAACATGTTGGCTCACTATTTAAAAAGATGGAGAACAAGCTATAGGATACCTGAGTTTTGGCGAGTTTTATATTTTTTACAGATCTATACTCAAAGTATCGATATAATATCGGCCACAATAATATTGCGATATGTAACTGTAGATTTTTTTTATACCCCTTATCACTAATATGGAGTATGTCTAAATTCTGAAATGCAATTCTTTACATTTATTTAGTCAACATAAACATTTTAAATATCTCATAAGTACCCTTTTTGATTTTGTTAATTTTAAGACATTGGTTGGAAAAATATACTCTAACATGCTGACCAGACCACACCGTGCGCATGTTGATTTTGTCCGACCACACCAGACGCGATCAGGACACCCAGGTTGAAATATCTAAACGAACTCTGAACCAACTACACTGCTCAAAAAAATTAAGGGAACACTTAAACAACACATCCTAGATCTGAATGAATGAAATAATCTTATTAAATACTTTTTTCTTTACATAGTTGAATGTGCTGACAACACAATCACACAAATATTATCAATGGAAATCAAATGTATCAACCCATGGAGGTCTGGATTTGGAGTCACCCTCAAAATTAAAGTGGAAAACCACACTACAGGCTGATCCAACTTTGATGTAATGGCCTTAAAACAAGTCAAAATGATGCTCAGTAGTGTGTGTGGCCTCCACGTGCCTGTATGACCTCCCTACAACGCCTGGGCATGCTCCTGATGAGGTGGCGGATGGTCTCCTTAGGGATCTCCTCCCAGACCTGGACTAAAGCATCCGCCAACTCCTGGACAGTCTGTGGTGCAACGTGGCGTTGGTGGATGGAGCGAGACATGATGTCCCAGATGTGCTCAATTGGATTCAGGTCTGGGGAATGGGCGAGCCAGTCCATAGCATCAATGCCTTCCTCTTGCAGGAACTGCTGACACACTCCAGCCACATGAGGTCTAGAATTGTCTTGCATTAGGAGGAACCCAGGGCCAACCGCACCAGCATATGGTCTCACAAGGGGTCTGAGGATCTCATCTCGGTACCTAATGGCAGTCAGGCTACCTCTGGCGAGCACATGGAGGGCTGTGCGGCCCCCCAAAGAAATGCCACCCCACACCATGACTGACCCACCGCCAAACCGGTCATGCTGGAGGATGTTGCAGGCAGCAGAACGTTCTCCACGGCGTCTCCAGACTCTGTCATGTCTGTCACGTGCTCAGTGTGAACCTGCTTTCATCTGTGAAGAGCACAGGGCGCCAGTGGCGAATTTGCCAATCTTGGTGTTCTCTGGCAAATGCCAAACGTCCTGCACGGTGTTGGGCTGTAAGCACAACCCCCACCTGTGGATGTCGGGCCCTCATACCACCCTCATGGAGTCTGTTTCTGACCGTTTGAGCAGACACATGCACATTTGTGGCCTGCTGGAGGTCATTTTGCAGGGCTCTGGCAGTGCTCCTCCTGCTCCTCCTTGCACAAAGGCGGAGGTAGCGGTCCTGCTGCTGGGTTGTTGCCCTCCTACGGCCTCCTCCACGTCTCCTGATGTACTGGCCTGTCTCCTGGTAGCGCCTCCATGCTCTGGACACTATGCTGACAGACACAGCATACCTTCTTGCCACAGCTCGCATTGATGTGCCATCCTGGATGAGCTGCACTACCTGAGCCACTTGTGTGGGTTGTAGACTCCGTCTCATGCTACCACTAGAGTGAAAGCACCGCCAGCATTCAAAAGTGACCAAAACATCAACCAGGAACCATAGGAACTGAGAAGTGGTCTGTGGTCACCACCTGAAGAACCACTTCTTTTTTGGGGGTGTCTTGCTAATTGCCTATAATTTCCACCTGTTGTCTATTCCATTTGCACAACAGCATGTGACATTTATTGTCAATCAGTGTTGCTTCCTAAGTGGACAGTTTGATTTCACAGAAGTGTGATTGACTTGGAGTTACATTGTGTTGTTTAAGTGTTCCCTTTATTTTTTTGAGCAGTGTATATTAATTTGGGGACAGGTCGAAAAGCATTAAACATTTATGGCAATTTAGCTAGATAGCTTGCTGTTGCTTGCTAATTTGTCCTGGGATATAAACATTGGGTTGTTATTTTACCTGAAATGCACAAGGTTCTCTACTCCGACAATTAATCCATAGATAAAAGGGTAAACAGAGTTTGTTTCTAGTAATCTCTCGGTTGGCAACCAACTTTAAGATGCATTAACACCACCAACTGCACTGGAGTGTGGACCTCTCATCTTTCAATCACCCACGTGGGTATATGCTCCTAAAAACCGATGGGAGAGGTGGGACTTGCAGCGCGTCAGGCGTCACAAATAGAACCAAGTTCTATTTTAGCGCCTGGCTACGCAGACACTCATTGAGGCGCGCGAGCAGTGTCGGTGCAATGATTTGAATAACACGTATGTGTACATTTATTTACACGCGACGCAAGCGGTGGGGTCAGCATGTAAGGACATCAAATTTCCAGAGTTGTTTGTCTGCTAATTTTGAAGTTATGATACATTTTATTACCAACACAGTGAATGGGAAAATGGATTCAAATGGAACTTCCTCTGCTGGTGATTTGCTGAATGTGCAATCCTAAAAGAGGGCTATGATTTCTTAATGACCTTATTGTCAATTTCTGTGTATAAAATGGGTCATATCTTCAAAGGTACCAGAGAGCCCACTGACACTATAAGTATAATGACACCAAGATATTGTCTGTATCATGTACGGTTCACGGATCATAGGTTCTTACAGGAGGCATTTTCATCATGATAAAAACAAAAGAATACCTTGATACAAATGTAAAAAGCATGTCTAACATACTTCCCTTCCAATAAAGTTTCTATGTGAGAATTGCCAGAACAATCTGAGATACCCAAAATATTTTCGGGCTGTCCTGGCGTGGAACCACCCTGCTACAATAATATATTTGAGTAAATAAGGAAGTGTAACAAACAAATAGCCTAGTTATAGCAGCATTCAAATCTATGAATGCAACCCTGTGTTGTATCCATGATTTCATTTAGATCATTCTCCCTCTGGAGTGGTTCCCCCTGAACAAACCCAGTGCTGGAGACTACTTTCACATGGCCTACAATGTCATCACGCCATTCCTACTGCTCAAGGTGGGTGACTGTCTGGAACCACCAAACACAAACTGCAATGCTGGTTGATACCGTTTGTTCACAATCACAGTTGGCCTATAAGAAGCTACAGTGACAATAAAATGTGTCCCAAATAATCTATTTCAATATGTAATTAATTAATTAATCTGATGAATTTGTGATGCACACATGCTATACTAAGCGTGTGTGTGTGTGGTACGCACTGACTGTGTGTGTTTACATGCCTGTTAATGTGTGTGTGCTCTCGTACCTCTCTGAGCAGCTGATTGAGCGGAGTCCCAGGGCCCTGCCTCGCTCCGCTGTGTACCTGAGCATCATCACCTTTGTGATGGGCGCCAGCATCCACCTGGTGGGAGACTCCATCAACCACCGTCTCCTGCTGAGCGGTTACCAGCTCCACCTGTCTGTCAGAGAGAACCCCATCATCAAAGACCTCAAACCTGCTACACTGGTAGGCTATACCTTTTTATTATATAAGATATACTTCGTTAGTCCATATGGGATGGAAATGTGTCTTCTGCTTTTTACCCAACCCCTCTGATACAATCTGACCAACGTATGCAAAATTATAGTTGTGGGTTAACCGAGATGAATGAACGCATGGTGCCTGGTAGAGCTCAAATGTATGCTGTTTTATATCAACCAACCAAAAAATGCTGATGATGTTTGAAAATGTTTCTTATTTTATTTATTTTAGATTGATTCGTTTGAACTTCTTTATTTTTATGATGAACAGCTGGGACATTTAATGTGGTAGGTATCGGATCATGTAGTAATTTCTTTTAATGGGATATTCTCTTCTGCGTAAAACTGGAATTGGTTGATATTATAACTTAGTTTAAAACCTGTTTTAAAGTGGTTGAACATTGACTGTTTTTCAAATGTAGTTGCTTTGATGTATTTATGTCTGTATATCTAAAAATCTAATCTAATTTTATTGTTCGGGTACACATGCTTTGCAGATGTTATTGCGGGTGTAGAGAAAAGCTTATGTTTCCTAGCTCCAACAGTGCAGTAATACCTAACAATACAAAACAATAAACGCAAGTCACAAAAATTTAAATAAAGGAATTAAGAAATATAGGAATTTTAGAACGAGCAATGTCAGAGTCCGGAATATAAATATGTATGTATATGTTGGTATGTATAGACAATGAGATTATGGACAGCATATGAATAGAAAAGGTGTGTACAGCAGTAGTTATATAGGATGAGCCTGGACTAGAATACACTATATACATCAGAAGTGGGGAAAACAGTATGTAAACATTATTAAAGTTCAATATGTGTAATAAGTTGACATGAAGTAGTTTTCAACAGAGTTCTCTCTACCTCCAGGTATATTCCTTTCTTCGTCATCCTCTTCCTCTACTTCACCGGCTGTTTTACTCACGTCAAAGAGGATAAGACGATGCCCCTGTCTGGTTGGCTGCTACTCGGACCCAGTGCCCTCTACTATTGGTCAGTCCCCTCATTACTTCCTTATTTTGACTTGAGTAAAGTTTTCTGAGCAAAACAGCTCCAAGTGATTTTAATTTTGGAAATCTATAGCAAGATATATGTGATCTTATACAAATGTAAGCAAGTTTTGAAATTATTGTTTTAGTCAAATATCTGTTTGGGCTTCTTGAGGTCAATTTGCAGTCTACAAATTATTTGTCATGATGTTCCGGCCCCCTGACCATCTGCTGAAGAAAAAATTGGCCCGCTGCTTAATCTAGTTGATGATCCCTGCCATACAACACTCCTTCCGTAGCCTCCAACTGCTCTTAAACCACTAGTAAAACTAAATGCATGCTCTTCAATCGAACGCTGCTGGCACCCGCCCACCCGACTAGAATCACTACTCTCGACGGGTCTGACCTAGAGTATGTGGACAACTACAAATACCTAGGTGTCTGGTTAGACTGTAAACTCTCCTTCCAGACTCACATTAAGCATCTCCAATCCAAAGTTAAATCTAGAATCGGCTTCCTATTTCGCAACAAAGCCTCCTTCAATCATGCTGCCAAACATGCCCTCGTAAAACTGACTATCCTACCGATCTTTGACTTCGGCGATGTCATTTACAAAATAGCCTCCAACACTCTACTCAGCAAATTGGATGTAGTCTATCACAGTGCCATCCGTTTTGTCACCAAAGCCCCATATACTACCCACCACTGTGACCTGTACGCTCTTGTTGGCTGGCCCTCACTACATATTCGTCGTCAAACCCACTGGCTACAGGCCATCTATAAATCACTACTAGGCAAATCCCCGCCTTATCTTAGCTCATTGGTCACCATAGCAACACCCACCCGTAGTATGCGCTCCAGCAGGTATATCTCACTGGTCATCCCCAAAGCCAACACCTCCTTTGACCACCATTCCTTCCAGTTCTCTGCTGCCAATGACTGGAACGAACTGCAAAAATCTCTGAAGCTGGAGACTCTTATCTCCCTCACTAACTTTAAGCATCAGTTGTCAGAGCACCTTACCGATCACTGCACCTGTACACAGCCCATCTGAAATTAGCCCAACCAACTACCTCATCCCCATATTGTTATTTATTTTGCTCATTTGCACCCCAGTATCTCTATTTGCACATCATCTCTTGCACATCTATCATTCCAGTGTTAATACTAATTGTAATTATTTTGCACTATGGCCTATTTATTGCCTTACCTCCATAACTTGCTACATTTGCACACACTGTATATATATTTTCTGTTGTATTTTTGACTTTATGTTTTGTTTTACCCCATATGTAACTCTGTGTTGTTTTTATCGCACTGCTTTGCTTTATCTTGGCCAGGTTGCAGTTGTAAATGAGAACTTGTTCTCAACTGGCTTACCTGGTTAAATAAAGTTAAAAAAATAAATAGAGGTTTGCTGAATTCTAATTGGCAATTGTACTCCATTGTGTGATTTATGTCATACTGTAAGTACCTGAAGTATGGGACATTTCACTGTGTGAAGCGTGGCTCAACTCTTTGTAAGTATTTTCTTCTAAAAAGTGAAAGTATCTTGACTGCAGCTCTCACTTCTGCCCCTCTCTCACACCTTCTCAGGTACTTGGTCACGGAGGGTCAGATCTTCCAACTCTTCCTCCTCACCTTCCTAGCTATGGTAGCCACGGTGATCCACCAGCGACATAAGGGCTCGGTCCCGGACGCCAACGGCCACTTTCTGTTCGCCAGCTTCTCTGTCACCATGTGCCTGGTCGCCGTGTGGGTGGCCTGGCTGTGGAGCGACCCAGTGCTGCGTAAGAAATATCCTGGTCTCTTGTACGTCCCCGAACCCTGGTCCTACTACACGTTACACGTCAAGGACAGCCAATGATGGGAGTGACAACAGGTGAGTGTCCAGTAAGATGCTAGTTTGTGTTAGCCTGGGTGCCAGTTTGATGATGATAGTTTGTGTTAGCCTGGGTGCCACTATGATGCTAGTTTGTGTTAGCCTGGGTGCCACTATGATGATGCTAGTTTGTGTTAGCCTGGGTGCCATTATGATAACGCTAGTTTGTGTTAGCCTAGGAGCCAGTATGATGCTAGTTTGTGTTCGCCTGGGTGCCAGTATGACATTGCTAGTTTGTGTTAGCCTGGGTGCCAGTATGACATTGCTAGTTTGTGTTAGCCTGGGTGCCAGTATGACATGCTAGTTTGTGTTAGCCTGGGTGCCAGTATGTGACATTGCTAGTTTGTGTTAGCCTGGGTGCCAGTATGATGATGCTAGTTTGTGTTAGCCTGGGAGCCAGTATGATGATGCTAGTTTGTGTTAACAATTAGTTATCCAGGTTAGGTTTGCATGGAGTAAGGAAAGTTATTATGAGCCGTCCTTCCATCACCACCCTCCTGTGGAATGGACTAATATTGACTTACATTTTGTAGAATTTACAGGTCTGAAACTTTCCTTCGCCAGATAAATGGTGTATCTGCTCTGCTCCCAAATGGTGGAATGACATCATCAGCAAGCGCCACATGGAGTGTGGATCAAGCACAGTGTTGTGGTGCATTCTGGGACAGGCCCCTCTTTTCTACAGTTGCACCCAACCCCGTCTACATGACAGTGACCATCTTACAGTATGTAATGTTACAGTATTCATTTAAAATGAGACAAACTTTGAAATGAACTCAAAGAAAGGTCAGTGTCGTATGTACTTGAACATCATTGGATTGCTTAATGTAAGTTGTTTAAACATTTGAAAATCTGATATTTTTTGTAATAAATGTTTCTTACTCCACTTTATGTGTATTGTGTTTATGAGCTTTGAAGACATGTTTAACTTTACTTGCTTATAAGGTATAACAGATGTCATCATCATCAGGGTTTTTCCCATACTGAAGTAAGTCATATGTCTCCTATAGCAGATTTACATTTGACATTTTAGTAATTTAGCAGACGCTCTTATCCAGAGCGACTTACAGTAGTGAGTGCATACATTTTCATACTTTTTCGTACTGGTCCTCAGTGGGAATCGAACCCACAACCCTGGCACTGCAAGCACCATGCTCTACCAATTGAGCGGGAATACAGAGTACACGCCAGATGTAGTGGGGTATCCACATACCAAATTATTATATGCCGTACTAGTACATGGCTGGATTGATAGACAATGACCTCTAGTGGTAATGCTATATATTGCAGCTACCTCAGGAAATGTATATATTCACTGTCGTCACTATCCTGTCATCGGTCCTTTCACTAGACATTACAAGGTATTGAATTGAATGCAGGAGTTCTATTAGTTGGGCAAGATCAATCATACTTACGCCTACTTCTAATATAGACAAAGTTACTTATCTTCTTGAAGATTTTTACTTTTTAAATGTAACTACAATTTCCGTATACTGTAACTCGTCTGCTACTGGCCACGCTGTGTAGTTTAACATATCCTGGTTGTCATAACAGACAATAGATAGTGTTTAGTATCACAGCTATTTGAGAGAGGAGAAAGGGAGAGGATAATATGATACCGTGGATCCACTATCTCGGTTTCCACAGCAACCGGTATTAAATGACATGTACTCTGTGCTGGACTTTAGAACGGGCAGGCAGACGGGTGTGGAGACAGGTGAGGTGAGCCAGTGGCATTACAGGAAGAGAGATCTCCGACGACAGACATGGTATGAAAAACCACTTCATTGTTTGGGGTTTTCGGTTTAATAATTTCTGTACATGTTTAAGCCAACTCATGGTGTATTTTTTGTGTTTTCTGTTTAATAATTTCCATTTAATAATTTGTGTTTAAGCCAATTCATGGTGTATTGTGTTTTTCTCAGGCTAAATTCCTGTCAGGAACTCAGATCAACGGTAAGGTGTGCTATGTTGTTTGCTAGCTTTTCTTTTGGTGTGTGAGAGGTCACTTGAGACATAAATAATGTCAGTCTTTTTCAATAAATTGATATTGAACAGTAGAGTAAAATATTGTGACTAACTTTGAGAGCAATGTCTTTTAAAAAGGGATTTTAGAAAAGAAGAATCCCATTTGAGGGTAAAAGTATGATTTATTTCTTCCTCTACACTTGTCGAAGTGAGACAAGAACATTTAACTGCCTCCTTGGAGTGAGACAAGAACGTTTAACTGCCTCCTCAGAGTGAGACAATAACGTTTTAATTGCCTCCTTGGAGTGAGGAGAATGCATTGATGCATTTTGACATTGTAATATGCACTGTTTTTAGAATATATTATCCTGATTATTAATTTTTTCTCCACAGTCATAGTTTCTTTTTTACCCAGAACCTCAGTGCATTATTTGCATGTTTTTCTCCCTGTAGAGTTCAAGGAATGTTTCTCCTTGTATGACAAGAAGCGCAAGGGGAAGATTGAAGCCAAGGACCTGATCACAGTTATGCGCTGTCTGGGGACGAGTCCCACCTTCGGTGAGATCGACAGACACCTGCAGGTCCACAAGATAGGTATGCCATCAAGGTCCCCTCACTTACCCTGGGGGCATTTCAATAGTCTAGTGGCTTACCCTGGGGGCATCTCAATAGTCTAGAGTGACTTACCGTGGGGGCATCTCAGTAGTCTAGAGTGACTTACCCTGGGGGCATCTCAGTAGTCTAGAGTGACGTACCCTGGGGGCATCTCAGTAGTCTAGAGTGACTTACCCTGGGGGCATCTCAATAGTCTAGAGTGACTTACCCTGGGGGCATCTCAATAGTCTAGAGTGACTTACCCTGGGGGCATCTCAGTAGTCTAGAGTGACTTACCCTGGGGGCATCTCAATAGTCTAGAGTGACTTACCCTGGGGGCATCTCAATAGTCTAGAGTGACTTACCCTGGGGGCATCTCAGTAGTCTAGAGTGACTTACCCTGGGGGCATATCAATAGTCTAGAGTGACTTACCCTGGGGGCATCTCAGTAGTCTAGAGTGACTTACCCTGGGGGCATCTCAGTAGTCTAGAGTGACTTACCCTGGGGGCATCTCAGTAGTCTAGAGTGACTTACCCTGGGGGCATCTCAGTAGTCTAGAGTGACTTACCCTGGGGGCATCTCAGTAGTCTAGAGTGACTTACCCTGGGGGCATCTCAGTAGTCTAGAGTGACTTACCCTGGGGGCATCTCAGTAGTCTAGAGTGACTTACCCTGGGGGCATCTCAGTAGTCTAGAGTGACTTACCCTGGGGGCATCTCAGTAGTCTAGAGTGACTTACCCTGGGGGCATCTCAGTAGTCTAGAGTGACTTACCCTGGGGGCATCTCAGTAGTCTAGAGTGACTTACCCTGGGGGCATCTCAGTAGTCTAGAATGACTTACCCTGGGGGCATCTCAGTAGTCTAGAGTGACTTACCCTGGGGGCATATCAATAGTCTAGAGTGACTTACCCTGGGGGCATCTCAGTAGTCTAGAGTGACTTACCCTGGGGGCATCTCAGTAGTCTAGAGTGACGTACCCTGGGGGCATCTCAGTAGTCTAGAATGACTTACCCTTGGGGCATCTCAGTAGTCTACAGCAGGGCTCTCCAACCCTGTTCCTGGAGAGCTACCGTCCTGTAGGTTTTCGCTCCAAACCTAATCTAGCGCACCTGATTCGAATAATTAGCTAGTTAATAAGCTGAATGAGGTTAGTTACAACTGGGGTTGGAGTGAACCTACAAGAGGGTAGCTCTCCAGGAACAGGGTAGGGAGAGCCATGGTCTAGCGTGACTTACCCTGGGGGCATCTCAGTAGTCTATAGCAGGGGTATTCAACTCTCACCCTACGAGGTCTGGAGCCTGCTGCTTTTCTGTTCTACCTGATCATGAATTGCACCCACCTGGTGTTCCAGGTCTAAATCACTCCCTGATTAGAGGGGAAAGATGAAACAACCCAGTGGAACTGGAACTGGTTGAGTTTGAGGGGTCTAGAGTGACGTCCTCTCTTCATCTGCGTTACCATGACATCTTTTCCCCCCAATTTTATTTTTTTAAAGGTCAGTGCAGATGAAGGGAACAAGCAGGGAAGTGGAAGCCATTAGAATATTGAAGTGGCTCTAGACACCTGGTGATCTAGCTGAACTGTTTAGGAATGGTAGTGAGATTTTGGCTGTAAATGATTTAACAGGCAGGCAAGCTGCTACTTGGGGAGGTGGGTGGAGGGAGAAAATGTCACCTTGTTGTCACATTGAGTGTAACCTACACATTAGCTGAAATCTGTCCAGGCTTGTTCCAATTCCATTTATTACATTAAAACATATATTTATCTTCTCTCAGCTCTTCATAATTGCTGCACTGAACTTTTTAACCTGGGGGAAGTACTGAGAAATATTCAAACCAATTAACTGATTTGGTAATGTGAAAATGGCTTTGGTTAAAACACGTTTGACTCAACAGAATTTTTTTCCATCAATCCCCAATTTCCTGAGAACAACATAGAACTGAATGTCTTTCTGAGAGTCAAAAAGTGTGTCTGCTCTGTTACTCTGAACTTTATGCCCATTTGCAGTTCATTCTTTTACACATTTACACAGGCAGCTCAATTCTGATATTTTTTTCGCCTCATTGATTTTTTTTGACCAATCAGATCAGCTCTGAAAAAGATCTGATGTGAAAAGATCTGATGTGATTGGTCAAAAGACCAATTCATGGAAAAAATATCAGAATTGGGCTGCCTGTGTAAACGCAGCCACATTGACACAATCCACTGCCCTAACTAATGATTTGATTGAAGAAGTAAGTAATAATCAACAATGCTCAGTAGAGTTGTATGAAAATACACCACAACTCGGCCATGTAGCAGATAACCAGTCACTTTAACAGCAGCATTTAGGCCTACTTTGGATCAATGGTGCCCTTTGCAGGTGATTAGTTCTATGGATCTCCTTCCTTCTCCAGATAAGAAGGGCGAGCTGGACTTCTCCACCTTCCTGACCATGATGCACCGGCAGATCCAGCAGGAGGACCCCAAGGCGGAGATCCTGGAGGCCATGAGGATGACGGACAAGCAGAACAAGGGCTACATCCTGGCTTCTGAGCTCCGGACCAAGCTCACCAAGCTAGGAGAGAAGCTAACTGATAAAGAAGGTAGCCTACAATGTGTTTCTATCACTATGGGTTTTAGCTGACATGGATTAAGACCGGACTAGATATAATGCTTAATGGAGTCTCTATTTAAAATGCTGTTTAATGCAGGAGTAGTAGATAGGCTTAATCTGGGTCGGGGAAACTGGCCCTGAAAGTGCAGCTTGACAGTCTGAATTGGCTCCTTCTTACAATCTCTTATACATAATATGCACTGAGGTTAAAAAGAAAAGTAAAATATAACTGGTATACCTTTTCCTGGTATTTGTTATCATCAGTCCAGCTCTTTTAACCCTTTACACTCGTACCCGTATACGGGTTGAAAATGGCAGATTTGGGCACTGATAAACGCCTAAATTGGAACGCAGTGTCTGTCTGGACAGTAACGTTCTATACATGACGTCAGAGCTCTGGCTCTGCGCTTCACAGCGCTGTATCGGTTTTGACTGACAGCCATTCTGAACTTGAGCACTGCTTGCGAAAAGAAGTTGCCCCATCCCTCCCGGTAATTGGGCAACTTTTTAAAATGTTTCGTTGTGTGCGTGAGGGAAATGTTGTAAATTAAGAGGGCTCTATGTATTTGAAAGATGAGACGTTGAGGATTATAATAAATACTGGTTTGATGTCATACATGCAAGCCTAACACCAGTGAGTCTAAATGGGCACTTCACATTTCCATGTCATAAATGTAATTTCATATACAGTGTTTGTTTATGATCACTATGTTTGATGTATAGTTACAAGATGACATGGCGTCATATCCTGGGTTATTTTGAACAGAATGAGCCTGTTTGTCTACAGTGAATAACATTTGCCTCGGCACACGCACTTGAATGCACTCATGACTCCTTTCTATAGACGGGTTGGTTGTTTAGCAACAACAGCGCAACTATGGGGCGAAACAGACGGGGTGCTCTTAGATTGTTGAAACGTGTCAAATATATTTGTATTTATTGAAAACACAAATACATTTGCACAATGAGCACTTTTCTCTCAAATACATTGTTACAGTTGTTGGTTAGCTAGCTAGCGAATTTTTTGCCATATTAGTAGAGACATGACATCAGTCCAAACACCTCAAAACAAGACATGGTATCAAGAACAAGATAAAACTAGCTGAAACGAGCCACCTACGATTCCGCTCATGGCAGCAGCTTTTCATTGTTGCTAGATATCTGACCATCCAGAATCACAACAACACACAGACTTCTGCCCCATTGAATCACGTGCATCATTTTCGTGGCGTTGTCAGCTAACCCGTCTATGCGCACCGAAATTACGATATGTTTCCCTAAATTGCATTGTGAAAGCCTAACACTTTAATATTGTATTTCATAACGTAGATAGTCATGTTGGCAATAGAACATGCTTTCAAATGATTCACACCTGACCCAGATTGCGATTTTATAATGGACTGTTTTTGGATTGCGTGAACAACAACAATAACTGTGATTGCGGGGATGCTGGGCTGTGTTCCAAACAAAATACCTACAAGTGTGCTTGCTCTAATTCTTCAACGGCACAGCTAGGAGAGCTCAAAAAAGCACCTTACAGTTGAAGCCTTTTCTATGAGTCATAAAAGTGCATAGACATTTCTTAGGAAATGTGCACACTTTGGAGAGATGTGTGGCCACTCAGACACCAGTTAGACCTCTCACTCAAACCTCTTATTGTTCTGTCTTGTGTTGCACCTACAACACATTTCCCAGGAATATTATTATCATGTTACTGAATGTATCCAGAGTATTTTCAGATTTCGTTAACAACAAATGTGGCAAAAAGTACAGAAAATGTTAAATGCACATAAAATCAACAGTGTAAGGTTTGGATTCAGTCTTGTCAGGTGAACTGCTGTGTCCTCACCTTTTTAGTCTAACTATTTCCCCATAATCTCTAAACTGTTCCCTTTTCATTGCTACCATGTTTATGCATATGATTTTCATATTTCTTCTGTAAGAAACATTTCAATGTAGCCCTATCCATATAGGCCAATTCCCAGCAGTGTAAAGGGTTAAATTAGTGCAGATGGGGGAAATAGAGAAACAAGGCCACTTTAGACTATTGAGAGACACCCAGTGCCTTCAAGAGACCCTATGGAAATACACATTGAGATGGCAGCTTTCCCACTGGACACACTGGTTGAATTAACGTTGTGTCCACATCATTTTAATTCAATTTAATTGACATCTGTGCCCAGTGGGTCAAGTCATTCTCATGTGTCAACACATACATTAACTGAATCTTGTGTCAATTTGCAAATTATAAAACACTTAAATGTTTTTTAACGATTCTACCTGGTAACATACTTGTGGTTGGTCCCAAATCAGCGAATTAACATGAAGTTATTTCCCCTCTAAAATTTGCAGTGGACGAGCTGTTCAGAGAAGCCAACGTGAAGTCTAATGGCAAGGTGCACTACGAGGAGTTCACCAGGATGGTGACACTACCGTCAGTGGATTACTGAGGGACAGGAGGAGGTGACGTCCTTTATGATAGGGAAGCATGGTCATGGAAGGGACCTGGTTATGCATGCACTGAGCATTACCCAACCACCTCCATGCACATAATTTATTGATCATCTAGGTTTGTATCTATTGTAGGCTACGTTCTATCATTTATACAAGTGCATTTGATTAATTAAATGGATGAATCTTTTTTATTTTTTATTGAGGGTTTGTATTTTACTTGCTGCAGGAAGAGTAGCTGCTGCATGTGCAATAGGTAATGGAGATTCAAATAAACAAAATAAACACAACTATCCCTTTTCGATGTTGAGTTTAAAACTGTTTGTTGAACTTGTGTTCTAGGTGTAGGATTTTATAAATGTAGTTTACATGGTGCAATCACTCAAGCTCTTTCAGCCATACCATTGAACTAAAAAGTTGTGCAAGTTGTTTGTTCCTCCCACAATATTCTTTACAATAACAATTTAAGTCAATATTTACATGTCATAGTAACCAAATTATACACCGTCATTAGTAGGAATGTATGTTTAAAAAAAATACTAGTTATGTAGGAAGGACCGAATTCTTTGCACACACACTGCATATTGTGTCAATAGTGTGCAGCTGTAGCCTGCAATTGGAGGTGAATTATTTGCCCACACACCATTCATTTATGGCATAAATTACACGTCAAAGGAATTCTCTGCCTAATATATTGTCAGTAAGCATATATATTTTTTACAAGAACGTAATGGCATTTAATTTAGTCATCCAATATAGCTAAGCCATTATTAAGGAGTGCAGGGGGGCAGGAGGAATATGTGGAGAATATACAGGTAACTGCCAAAATAAAGGAAACCCTTGGATTAAATGAGGGGTACCAAAATATATACACAGTGGGTGCTTCCACCCAGGTGTGGTTCCTGAGTTAAGCAATTAAAACATCCCATCATGCTTAGGGTCATGTATAAAATTGCCCAGTTGTCCATTATTTTGGCTACCATGACTAGGAAGAGATTTCAGTGACTTTGAAACTGGGGTCTCAAAGGAGCATAGCAGGTTTAGAGTGTGTGTGTCACCAGATCTCAACCCAATTGAACACTTATGGGAGATTCTGGAGCGGAACATGAGACAGCGTTTTCCACCACCATCAACAAAACACCAATATGGAATTTATTGTGGAAGAATGGTGTTGCATCCCTCTAAAAGAGTTCCAGACTCTGGTAGAATCTTTGCCAAGGCACATTGAAGCTGTTCTGGCGGCACGTGGTTGCCCAATGCCCTATTAAAACACTTATTGGTTTTTCCTTTATTTTGGCAGTTACCTGTACGTTTCTCAAACTCGGTCTTGGGGGACCCCATGTTTTGGTTTTTGCCCTAGCAATACACAGCTGATTAAAATAATCATAGCTTGATGATTAGTTGATTATTTGAATCAGCTTTGTAGTGCTAGGGAAAAAACCTAAACGTGCACCCCTTGGTGTTCCGAGGCCCAAGTTTGGGAAACGCTGGACACACCTACCAAATGTAATTGTTTTATTTTTATTTAACCAGGTAAGACCCATTTTTCCAGGGCGACCTGACAAGAAGACAAAACGGAAATAGCAGCGTGTACATAAAATGTTACAAAAAAAATACAAGTAAACAAAAATGATAAACTGCAGCTATCAAAAACATTATTCGATCAGTCTTAAACACCGGGAAAGACTCTAACTCCCCTAACTTTTAATATCTTTTGAAGCATGTTACTGGATGAAGGGGCATTATGGGATAACTATGGTTTCCCCATCTCAGTTCTAGCCTTAGGAACAGACAAGGACTGCAGCGACTGTGAACGAAGACTGTATTGAGTGACTGATCTGGTCAGTAAGGAACAGAGATACAAAGGTGGTTGCCCTATCAATGCTTTCTTTGAACACACAAGTGTACCAGTGCTTTAGCTTCCTGGTGGAGAGAGAGGTCCATTGCACCATGGCATATAAATCACAGTGATGGGAGAGTGATCTATCTTGCATTGGTGATAAATCTTAAAAGCACCATGACACACTGTGTCCAGAGTTTTTAAGGTACTTGCTAAGCCCTGCATACAGATAATATCACCATAATCCAGCACTGCTAACAAAGGGCTTTGAACAAGATCCTTTCTGACTGACATTGAAAAGCAAGATTTGTTCCAAAAATAAAAACCCAATTTCAACTTCAGTTTCTTGGTGAAGTTATCAATGTGCTGTTTAAAATTCAGCTTTTCATCTAACCAAATGCCAACATACTTATAGGTGACATTTTCAATTTGCTTGCTTTTTACAGTTGAAATCTGCAAGTGACTCCATTTGTCTACTTTCAGAGAAGAGAAAACCATAAGTGTAGTTTTCCTTGCATTAAGCACAAGTTTCAATTGGAAAAGTTGCTTTTGAACAGCATCAAAAGCCAACTGTAAATCCTGAAAAGCCTTCAAGATGTGCTAGAATAAATAATTGTGTCATCAGCATACAGTCTTCCCTATATCATTTATATACATTGTAAAAAGGATCAGACCTAAAATTGAGCCCTGGGGAACTCCTTTGATAAGCCTTGGAAACTCAGATTTCATACCCTCTGTGCTACACTGCATTCTGTCAGAAAGGTAGTTTTGGAACCAATCCAATGTTTCAACATTTAAACCAACGTTTTTTTTGTCTATACAACTGCAGGGTCAACAAAGGCCGTCAATAAAAAGTGAAACAGTGATGTTTCTTGTCCTGAGCATCTAGAATATCACCTACAACCTTAGTTACAGCAGTAATTGTACTATTATTGGCTCTAAAATCCGACTGGAATTGAGATCAAATTAGTTATTATACAGAAAGTCTTTCAATTGTGAGTTCAACCAGGTTTTCCAAAGATTTTGCCAGTGCAGACAGTTTAGATATGGGACTATAGTTATCCAACTTTGACCCAACTGACCCACACAACACATTGCCTGAATAAATCAATCGACCAAGATGTAAAATGTTGACGTAGGCTGCTTGCCAGACTTTTGGAATCGTATTACTCGCCAATGAAAGATTAAATATATGCGTGAGAGAGGCAGCAATGATCTCTGCACCAATTTGGGGAAAATAAGGGTTAAATTGGTCCGAGGCCGGCCGCTTTCTTAATGTAAATAGATTTGAGTGTCATTACAACTTCTGAAAGGGTAATCTCGTCGGTAAAATTAAGTAGATTAACTTTAGGCCGGTTTCCGAAGTGGTCAACCTTCTCAAACACTCTATATGAACGAAGAAAATACGCATACCAATATGCTTATCTTATTTATAATGTACTGTCTAATTGTAATCCATTATATCGTGTCGCAGTTACATCACATGTGTGTGAGTCTTTACGCATTAAGTAATCTCCAATAACGCATTGAATATCATGATGCTATAACGTTAATCTTCAATCGACCATTTCTCGTCATCTAATGAGTTTTAGTAATTGGTATCTAGCGTTTTCGAAAGTTGCAAATTGACCCACACAACACATTGCCTGAATATATCAATCGACCAAAATGCTTAATTTATTTGCGCTTTATTTCACATACATGGCAATGACCCTTTACATTCAGCCACACATACCACAACAGAAGCACTGATAACATATTAATAGGATCACATTTATTTCGATGTTGCTGTACTAAAAATGTGTACACTGAATGGCGATGTGTGAGCTTGAATGGACGACAGAAGAAACATCTCAACATTCCAATAAAGGGTATAATATCCACAGGGTATATTGACTTCGGTGTACTCTATAGATTTGCGACTCTCTTATCTTAAAATCAACAGGTAATCATTGCGAGTAAAGTTTACTAAGTACATGTCCGTCCCGTTCCAGTGCGTGCCAAGGGACGCACCAAATTTCTGTAAATACTGCTTTTCACAACGTTGGGCTACTCTGTGCAACTGGTGCCCCGTGCGTAATGACAACATTGGGAACTCAAGAACTCTGTCATTTATCGTTCCCAAATGCATGCGTAATTGATGAAAGCAAGTCATTTCATAGAGTAAGTGCATTATGTCTGGTGGATACACTGTGAATCTTCAGGTGCCATTCCGGGTAGAACCAGTCTGTCAATAACGGATAGTCGACATTGTGTGGTGTCTAGAACATTCAAGGGAATAACCCCTTGGTTGTCGTCGTGTGTTACACGTGTGTTGCACGTCCCCGTAAACGTACGTATTGTACAGGCTTTGGAGATTGCTGGTGAGGAAATTCTCCAAAACAAATCCTTCAGCATCTTTCTGAATTCTCGTCGCATGAGACAATACAGAACTGGGTTCAAACAGCTATTGGCATGCGCGAGGCACACAGTCACCGGGAATACATAGGTGTGGACCAAATAGTAGGATTTATCCCAATTGACAGCGTTAAATTTCACCAATACGCCCCAGAATGTGATGGCGTGATTTGGCATCCAGCAAAGAAAGAAGGAGAGGACCACGATGGTGACAGATTTGGTCACCCTCGACCTCCGTTTGGGGTGGTTGTTGTTCATGCTCCTCAGACGGATAAACCGTAAGAGCATCAGATAGCAGACGGACACTATCAGCATGGGTATGACGAAGGCTATGATGATTTTTTGGAGATGATAGAGCGCGAGCCAGTCATGTCCCTCGGGGAACCTGATGAGGCAGAGCTTCTCTCCAGCCACTACTGTCACAGAGGAGAAGATGGTAGTGGGTGCTGTGGCAATGGTTGCGGAGACCCACAGCACCGCGCACACCCATTTCACGGAACACGACCTCTGCCTCGACCGATTCTTCAGAGCCGAGGCCACAGACCAGTAACGGGTCACACTCATAGCAGTCAGAAAGAACACGCTCGCGTACATGTTCATAACTGTTACGGAAAGGATGATTTTACACATGGCGTCTCCAAACGGCCAGCTGAAGTCCAGTGCGGTGTCCACTGCCCAGAACGGCAGAGTCAACACAAACTGGAAGTCCGTCATTGCCAAGTTGATGATGAAAAAGTTAATACTCGATTTCTTCCGGCCCTGTTTTAATCTCATTAGGAAAAAGACTAACAAGTTCCCAATTAACCCCACCGCGCAAACAATGGAGTACACAACGGAGATGATTATCCTTAGAATCGGGGTGCCGTCCGCGGTCACGTCAATATCCTCCAGACTGCCGAATTTGTCATCATCCATCAAAGTCATGTTCAATGCCCCGCTACCGCTGTGGTTGAGTAGCTCGCCCATCCTCACTGATAAGAATGCAACAACCGGTGCTTCTACTTGCACCAGGTCGCTTCCCGATGGCATATCAAAGAAGAGTCCTCGCGCTCCATGCAACTGAGTGCTTATTTTAGCTGTTCATGTTATGTAATTGAAGCTTGTATGATAAAAGTTATCGTGTCTACAGTCCTTGATAACACGGCAATCAATGTGAAACTTTGCATCTTGACAGTAGTCTTATACAGGTGCGCCGCTGTGCGCGTTCACAGCGCCTGCCCCTGCAACGCGTGGATTGGTCGATTGAGACGTGATGGACCTTTCTGTGAATAAACTACTAATAGGTCTCGACAAAATATGAATTTTCAGATACCAAAAGAAAATAAGCTACACTATATGTCCAAAAGTATGTGGACACCCCTTCAAATTAGTGGATCCGGCTATTTCAGCCACACCCTTTGCTGACAGGTGTATAAAATCGAGCACACCGCCATAGACAAACATTGGCAGTATCAATCAATCAATCAATTTTATTTTATATAGCCCTTCTTACATCAGCTAATATCTCGAAGTGCTGTACAGAAACCCAGTAGAATGGCCTTACTGAAGAGCTCAGTGAATTTCAATGTGGCACCGTGATAGGATGCCACCTTTCCAATTAGTCAGTTCTTCAAATTTGGAAATGTCTAGGAGCAACAATGGCTCAGCCAGGAAGTGGTAGGTCACACAAGCTCACAGAACAGCACCGCCGAGTGCTGGAGCGCGTAAAAGTCGTCTGTCCTTGGTTGCAACACTCACTACAGAGTTCCAAATTGCCTCTGGAAGGGAGGCGAATGCTACCTGCCCCAATGCATAGTGCCAACTGTAAAGTTTGGTGGAAGAGGAATAATGGTCTGGGTCTGTTTTTCATGGTTCGGGCTAGGCCTCTTAGTTCCAGTGAAGGGAAATCTTAACGCTACAGAATACAATGACATTCTAGACGATTCTGTTCTTCTAACTTTATGGCAACAGTTTGGGGAAGGCCCTTTCCTGTTTTAGCATGACAATGCCCCTGTGCACAAAGCGAGTTCCATACAGAAATGTTTGTCGATTGGTGTGGAAGAACTTGACTGGCCTGCACAGAGCCCTGACCTTAACCCCATTGAACACCTTTGGGATGAATTGGAACGCTAACTGCGAGCCAGGCCTAATTGCCCAACATCAGTGCCCGACCTCACTAATGCTTGTGGCTGAATGGAAGCAAGTCTCCGCAGCAATGTTCCAACATCTAGTGGAAAACCTTCCCAGAAGAGTTGAGGCTGTTATAGCAACAAATGGGGGACCAACTCCATATTAATGCCCATGATTTTGGAATGAGATGTTCGATGAGCAGTTGTCCACATACTTTTGGTCACGAAGTGTACATGTACATTTCTTCTTCCCTTGTTTTATATACTTTTTAATGTTTCTATATAGAAAAAATGTCCCTGACATTTTAGCAAAATATAATGAATAATGGGAGGGTATTTACTTGACCAGTTGCCAATACTTTATGGTTTGAAAAGGACCAAAATGATGTTGCAAAACCATGAAATAGTTGTGCCTCCCTTGTGCGTGAACAGGTGCCCGAAAAAAATGCCAAAATTCCCCCTAGTCTAGCCTACTCAAATATCGGTTTCCTTATCTTACCAAAGCTTTACCACGGCAGACATTACATTTTAAATGTTTTTTATTTATGTATTCATTCTTTGACATTTGCATGTTTATTATAGACATATGTGCCAAACTGACCATCCTCTTCCGCTAGAGGGGGCAACATGATGGGGACACTTTGGAGAGAACCAGTGGTTGACCAGTGAATGATGCCATAGGGCACGTGTCAATCTAGTTCCATGGAGGACCGTGTGTCGGCGGGTTTTTGCTCCTTCTTTGTACTTGATTGATTAATTAAGGTCACTGATTGGTAAGGAACTCCCCTCACCTGGTTGTCTAGGTCAAATCCAGCAGACACTAGGCCCTCCGTGGAAATAGTTTGACACCCCTGCCATAGGAGATACACTATTCTGAGCTCCAAGATGAAAGCATAATTTTCAAAGGAAACATAATGCAATTGCACTTGATTAGTTGTGTTTATGATTTCCTTGGAGTTTTGGCCTTCTCACAGTGCATAATGCACACAGGTCCCGTTATGCACTGGTGCTCAGTGCAGTAACCTAGACGGCTATATGTCACACATATGATGAATCCATGCGAACAAGATTATACAGTAGGCTAAAGTGTCGCTGTAGGCCTATAATATACAAGCAATATGCTTTAATATTGTGTACAATCGTAATATTAGCCTTTATCGGGTGTGGGTTAGCTTATTTGACATCCAGTTCAATGTGTCAATTCGACTTTCCTCAACTATCCCACTTTATTGACATTTGCACACCATACGTATTTTTATTTTAACAGGAAACCCAAGTAATTGAATGTAATATTCTCCCCATCACCTACCATCCCCTGGGCTACTACTGAAAGACATTCATTCTATTCTCTCAAGTCCACCCACTAAACTTTATCGGAGAGGGCGGTTCTTAAGCAAAGTTTAGCTTGTTAAGGACCGTTCCTAACTGTCAGGGCTGTCGAAGGGGGCTTGATGGAAGAAAGAAGGGACAACGTCTTGTCAGCAAACAACACTTAGAGCTTAACATTCTTGAAATGCAAAAGACGCATGTGAAAATCCCCGAGGAACGGTACAACTTCGTAAAAAACTTATGAAGTTTATATCGCCGGCGTCACGCTTTCTATGCTTAAAGTGCATGGTTCTAGCCGGGTATAAGTGTTTCACTCCAAAATGGAGAGCGTTTGAAATGACAGTCGGCACAGTGAGGATAAAGCATAATTACATGTTTTCTTTCTTTACCTTCCAACAAGATGATTTACTTGCACTGCGGACTGCACGTTCTCGAGCAAAATTTCTCTCCCATTCACTTTTTGGTTGCAGCGGGGGTCTTGGCGATGTTTCACAACAGTAAAACATTTGGATTTGAACAAGAGACAGGTAAGCCAGCCTCTTGAAAGTCAATGAATCATTCCTCTGACATACTTTTATTTTAAATCGTTTTGTGGAATAGTTCAGCTATGCTGGCATTTTAAAATGTCAGTTACAGTAACAAGGGGACCTCTGCAGCCCATTGTACTCAGGCAACTGATCTGCCCTACGGAGCCTTTACTCACACAAACATAGCCTAGCGATGTGACTGATCTACTTAGTCACACAAACGCATCCTAACGATGTGACTGACGCAGCCTTTACACAAACAGCCTAGTGATGTGACTGATATATGCAAGCAGTTCACTTGGGAAATATTGACACTTATGTTTTTTCACCCTTTTGCCGAAATCCCATGAGAATATGACTCAAAACAGACGTGATGTTCCCAGGCTATACCTCTATTTCCAGCTTGTATGAGACCAGCTACAGTATTTCAGAGGGGGGTTTTCCCCCCAGAGAGATCGGTCATTGAACCGCCTCTAGCGCTTCAGGCCATGCTTAAAATTCTAGTAGCCTAGCTGTAGTTTGCTACCCCAAACTTTTACTTGGGTCATGCCTGATGATGTCATAAGCACGCTCATGTTTACCTACTGTATCTGTACCTCACAGAGATAGTCACATTCCACTAGTCAATGTAAACTGTTATGCAAACAACATGAGTGAATGGCATGAGGATTAATTGTGTTCAGTTCTTTAAATAATATGCTCCCATTAGTCCAATAACTCAAGCTGTGGTATCTTAAAGATACCAGATACAGTAGTCAACCTAAAGTTGGCCTCTGAGCTGGTGTCTTGGTGTGAACAATTAATACAAATTAAACATTTCCGAAAGCTTTAATGTGCAAGATACCAATGCTGCGTTTACTTTAGAACTTACTTTTGAACAAGTATGCCAGTTGCATGTGTCTCTCTCTCTCTCCTTCATCTCTCTCTCTCCTTCATCTCTCTCTCTCTCTCTCCTTCATCTCTCTCTCCCCCATCTCTCTCTCTCTCCAATCTCTCTCCTTCATCTCTCTCTCTCTCTCTCTCTCTCTCTCTCTCTCTCTCTCTCCCTCTCTCCTTCATCTCTCTCTCTCCCCCATCTCTCTCCATCTCTCTCTCTCCTTCATCTCTCTCTCTCCCCCATCTCTCTCCCCTTGGTCTTCCTGTGTTGTGTAGCAGCCTTAGTGAACAAGGGAAAGGCCTTCCATGAGCAGTCTAGATATACCCTTGGGCTGTTTGACACTCTACCGTCCATACAAATCAACCTTAGTGGGTTTGCTCTGGAGAACCAAGGCTAAGTGTAATCGGTTTGCGAGGCGATGGACTGGCACAGGGGAGATAGCTTGGTACTGCAGCAGTGGCATTTGGGATGGCACCTGACAGTACTGGTGGGCACCGTCCTCTATCAAAGGATTCAACGGTCTCAGGGTTGGCATAACACATTCCCTGTGAGAGCGTCTCTGAACACCCCAATCAAAGAACCCAAACACTACCCTTCACCTCCTATATACCTCCACCGCGTCTCGTCCATTCAAATCAGCTACCTGGATCCTCCTGTGAGACTGGTCTGACTTTTTAAAGTGAAACTAGTTCTGAATTACTTTTGAATGTTAGGCAGAAATAAAGATGGCTTATGGATTTTTCTATTACGTCTGTGTTTTGTTTTCTAGGAAGGATTATTGCCGATCATGTTTCTATTCTCCTTTGTGAGGAATACATTTGTCACGGTCATCGCTTTTCAATTAAAGAGATTATAAAGTTATGATAAAAAGTGGATATTCCTGAAGATGGTAGTATAGAGAGATATAATATTACCATGAAGATTCAGTCAGACATGGAAAACCAATGCTTTGATGAAGCCACTCTTCCACCATTCATTTATCTTAATAGTTAATAGTGAGTTTATCTACAAAATCCTGGAAAATGTGATTGCCTCAAACGTTTAGCCTAAGTACTATGTAACAATGTGTACCTACACTGTAACTGCCTATGTAACTACTACCATGTGAATACATAGGTATGACCAGCGACACTTATGGTAAAGTGGGACCCTCTTTAATAAGCCCGTTATAAATCATGGGAGAGGAACCGGAGCCAGGGTGAACTGTCCCTCTTCTCATGCACTATTTAAACTGTCCTACATCAAGGCTGACATGACCCTGGACTGGAGCACTAGTTGGGGACAGTGACGTGTGATCCGATATGACAGATCGTGTGCAAGTGGTTTAATGGTCTCTGACATATTAGGCTAACGTTAATGTCTTCGTGATGAACCCATCTGTCTCATTTCTCACCTCATTTCATATGGGCTGTCAGTTCCTGTTAGTATGCAAAGGGTTTTGACTCTGTTTCAATATGCATACCACTACTAGCATATTACTAGCATACTACTACTAGCATATTACTAGCATACTACTACTAGCATGCCACTAGCAAACTATTAAAGTGCTGTGTGGTGCATGCTGGTATTAAAATTCATACCATTCCTTGAACGGTGCGTGTGTGTGTTTTAATTGAGGGCCTTAAGCCTCATCTGCTCCTTGAAGGTGGCACAGCGGGCCAGCACGCCGCTCGGATCACCGTGACGATGCCCCCCTGCCAGGATCCGGGTGTAGCATAGGAGAGTACAGCAGACTGATCGTCACTCCATTCAGCCTCTATAGTAACCTGAAGCCCTAGTTAATTAACGCCCGTTGTGAAACCTCATCCACGACTCCACATGACTATTGCCTGCCATTGGTGGATACATACTGGGTCACATGCTCATCCCCAAGTAAAAAATACATACTGTAGCCATATCCAACCCCTGTTAAAATGATGGATAGTGTATGTGTGCCTTGTGCAGATGGAACTGTTTACAGCTTGCCCAGTTTGTTTACAACCTTGCAGTCAATTAGTAGACAGCATGTTTTTATTTCCTCTCCCAACCAGAGAGCTTTCTACAGGGGCTTCCGCAATACCAAGTCGTTCACCCCTACCAAGTGGACGCCAAAGGTCACTTCCTGTCCAACTTTGTGTCCCACCGCGTCAGCCGGGTACAGAGGCGGGAAACCCAGGGGGAACCAGGAAGTCTTGCACGGGTGTTCTACCAGTTGCAGCACGGTGGCCGCAATCTGCACTTCAACCTCACCCTCAACCCACATCTGCTGGCTCCTGGCTTCCTGACCGAGAGGAGGTACGGTGGCCTGGAGGGGGCCAAAATACACAGCCATGGCCCCTCGCTGTGCCACTTTATCGGGGAGGTGTGGGACCAGGCAACTATGAAGGGGAGGGCGGCTATAAGTACCTGTGATGGCCTGGTGAGTGAGAGAGACCATCACTGCTAACTTACTGAGATATCTGTTTTTCCTTTCACTGCCTGAAGGGTAATGCAAAACATCAAACTTTTTACTTCTGGAACTTATCTGTCCCCAGGGTAACAAGTCGAAGTAGAAACACAATTGACCCAAAACAAAAATGATCAATGCAAATGACTGGGCCTAGGCCGTTCCTTTTCTGCTTTGGTTCTGTGCATGAGACTGGATAAAAGTGTTAAATGGCATACATTATTATATTATCATTATACAAAATCAAAGATGTATTACATTTAGGTGAAATGTAAAATGAGGGTTCATTGGAGGTTTTCTTGTGTGTTTTATTCCTCAAGCTCTGACAAAAATATGCTTTGCAATAAGCAGTAAGTACTACTGCAGAATGTAGTATGTAACACTGGCTTGAGCCTAGTCTGACCTTACCTTGTTTCAATCTTTAAACGCACGTCTGAACAGATGATGTTTATGTATTTTTAAAAGAAAAACAGTTTTCTCTGAAGTCACTACGTGCTGTTGGCCTCATTCCTGCCCTGTTAGTATAGTTATATTATTAGATTGCACCATCCATGGAAAAAATCACTGGCTGGTTGCTGAAATAACCTGTGAGCTGTGCTTGAGAGGATGCGTTTGATATATCACATCACAAGTGTTAGAGCGCTTTTCATCTAAAAGCAGGCTGGATGTCATCGATGACGCAGGTGTGTGTGTGCAAAACATCATCATGCAGCCATGAACAGGTCAAGCGATGGAGCACGTGTTAATAAGTGCTTATGCATGATCCATTTACATCTCATTGTCTTAATTATCCCATCTCTCCTCTGTTACCGCTGTCCACATCCCATCTCTCCTCTGTGTTCTCTGTCACATCCCATCGCTCCTCTGTGTTCGCTGCCACGTCCCATCTCTCCTCTGTTACCGCTGTCCACATCTCATCTCTCCTCTGTGACCGCTGTCACATCTCATCTCTCCTCTGTGACCGCTGTCCACATCTGCTGGTTAGCAACTGGTTGGCAACATGACCGTAGCACCCAAGAGAGCAATGTCAAAATCTCATGCATTCTTGACATATGGTCGTCCGTCCGTCTCCCCGTCCCCCCCCTCTGTAGTTTGGTGCTGTAGCCATCTGTTGTTATCTTTGTAAAACAGTAGAAAACGTTTTTGCAAAAAAGTTTGGGGATTCATGGTTGCATTGATTGGATTCAAAATCTCTGCAAAGTAAGTTTCCAGCTGGTCTTGCTGTAATAAATGTTTCACAATGCCAAAGTCACATTACACGCTTTAGGACATTTCTGATGAAACTGCAGTAGGAAACCACGAGCCCTATCCAACAATATCATACCATACCATAATAATGGCAGACGCAAATGGAATGGCATCAAACACCTGGAAACCATGCGTTTGATATATTTTATACCGTTCAACTGATTCCGCTCCAGTCATTACCACGAGCCCGTCCTCCCCAATTAAGGTGCCACCAACCTCCTGTGGATCATACTGTTACATTATTACTGAATTCCTTTCTCCCTACAGGTCCTATCCAACAATATCATACTGTTACATTATTACTGAATTCCTTTCTCCCTACAGGTCCTATCCAACAATATCATACTGTTACATTATTACTGAATTCCTTTCTCCCTACAAGTCCTATCCAACAATATCATACTGTTACATTATTACTGAATTCCTTTCTCCCTACAAGTCCTATCCAACATATCAATATCATACTGTTTACATTATTACTGAATTCCTTTCTCCCTACAGGTCCTATCCAACAATATCATACTGTTACATTATTACTGAATTCCTTTCTCCCTACAAGTCCTATCCAACAATATCATACTGTTACATTATTACTGAATTCCTTTCTCCCTACAAGTCCTATCCAACAATATCATACTGTTACATTATTACTGAATTCCTTTCTCCCTACAAGTCCTATCCAACAATATCATACTGTTACATTATTACTGAATTCCTTTCTCCCTACAAGTCCTATCCAACAATATCATACTGTTACATTATTACTGAATTCCTTTCTCCCTACAAGTCCTATCCAACAATATCATACTGTTTACATTATTACTGAATTCCTTTCTCCCTACAGGTCCTATCCAACAATATCATACTGTTTACATTATTACTGAATTCCTTTCTCCCTACAGGTCCTATCCAACAATATCATACTGTTTACATTTATGAATCCTTTCTCCCTACAGGTCCTATCACAATATCATACTGTTACATTATTACTTTTTCTCCCTACAGGTCCTATCCAACAATATCAATGTTTACATTTTTAAATCCTTCTCCACAGGTCTACCAACAAATCTACTGTTTACATATTACGATTCCTTTCTCCCTACAGTCCTATCCAACAATTCATATGTTACATTATTAGAATTCCTTTCCCTACAGTCCACCCAACAATATCATACTGTTTACATATACTGAATCTTTCTCCACAAGTCCTATCCAAAAATATCATATTTTCATTACTGATTCCTTTCCTACATCTATCAACAATACTACGTTACATTATACTAATCCTTTCTCCCTACAAGTCCTATCCAACAATATCATACTGTTTACATTATTACTGAATTCCTTTCTCCCTACAGGTCCTATCCAACAATATTATACTGTTACATTATTACTCTATTCCTTTCTCCCTTTCTAATAATATATCTTTCCATGTCAGCCTTTTTCTATTTGTTTTAGAAATTCAAACTTTTGCATACAAACAGTCAAATTTGTGATACTTCTAAGTGACTGTAAATGCTTGTAGGCCCCACAATAAGGGACTTTCCTAAATATGGCCAATGGGGAAACTTTCTCAGAGTATCCTCTTAAATGTCCATGTTCTTCAACAGTCAATTATCAGTTGAATCCAATGTATATACTGTATAGTGAATCTGTCCTTTAAACTCCTCTTCGAACCCGGAGGAGGGGAACATACTGGACTGGAAATGTTGTTTATTTTAAAATGATAGCAATTGGATATATTGACGAGCGATCGACCAGCTCCAGGCCCACGGCATTTCATTTGGCACAACCCCACATCTCGCTCTAAGTTCCACAGCTACGGCTGAGCCAGAACCCCAGAGGCCAGAATGCTGGGTTGAAGACGGTCATAAATCTAAACGATTGTTGCAGAGCATTCTGATTTAGCCACTACAGTTATGACTCCATTTCAGTTGGTGGGTTTTCTCCCATATGTTCTTGTTTTGCTCCCAGAGTGAAGGGAAAATAATCGCATGATAAATCACAAGATAACTCGCGTTTATGTAATACTATAACCTAATGGCACATTTTCATGAGGCTGAATGCATTTATTTCTCTCTGAAGCAATTTTGACCCATCTCCCACCCAGTAGAATGTGCTAGCTGTATTCTTCCATATCAAAGCATTTGTGATCCCTTGTTCTCCCAGTAAAATGTGCTAACTGTATTCTTCCCCCATCAAAGCAGTTGTGATCCCTTGTTTCCCAGTATTTAATTTTGGGTAACTGTATTCTTAAAATCAAACATTTTTGATCCCTTGTTCTCCCAGTAAAATGTGCTAGCTGTATTCTTAAAAATATCAAAGCAGTTGTGATCCCTTGTTCTCCCAGTATAATGTGCTAGCTGTATTCTTAAAAATATCAAAGCAGTTGTGATCCCTTGTTCTCCCAGTATAATGTGCTAGCTGTATTCTTCCATATCAAAGCAGTTGTGATCCCTTGTTCTCCCAGTAAAATGTGCTAACTGTATTCTTCCATATCAAAGCAGTTGTGATCCCTTGTTCTCCCAGTATAATGTGCTAGCTGTATTCTTCCATATCAAAGCAGTTGTGATCCCTTGTTCTCCCAGGATAATGTTTTTACTGTGTTTTTCCCCTCTTGCTTAGGACAATTAAAAAATATATATTAATAAAGCAATTCTGACCCCCTTTCTCCCTGTACAATAGGACCACTATATTTCTCATAATACATTTTGACCTCTCATAGAATGTCCTTGTTTTATGACTTTTTTTTAATATTAATAAACCATATTTTTCTCATAACAAAAGCAATACTGACCTACCTCCCTCTCTGTAGACAGGGCTGTTCAAGCTGTCCCAGGAGGAGTTCTTTATCCGGCCATTGGAGCGGTCTAGTGATGAGTCGACGGCACCACAAGTCCACATTATCTACAAGCGCCACACCTCCCCCACCCAAAGCCAGTTGGTACAGCCCATCTCTGGAGACCAAACCACCAACAGTACCTGTGGGGTCAAAGGTGAAGCATCCCGTCTTGACTTGGCATCACACACTCCAATATAGAGGCGAGAGCCCTTAGAGGATGAGGCTATTCCAATACTTTCAAGATGCACCCTTCCTTACCTTCCTTGAAGTAATAACCAATTGGACAAAACAAGGATCCCACTTCTGACACCAACTGATTTATGTGTCAGATCCAACCTAACCCATCCAGATGGTGACCGGTCAGTGATGCTTCATGGAAGGGAGGATGTATTTTCTAAGTATTCAAACGGGGCAGAGTACTGGATCTATCACACAAACGCACGTACAGTACACACACACACACACTCTCTAGAGGTGGAGGAAGACAGCCTGGGAATAATTGGGCTGGTAATAGGGCCTGTTTGAAATACCAGGAGCCTTAATTAAGCCCTGAAACACATTGCAGGATGAAATATCAGAGAGGCAGTATTATGTAAATATGCCATTAGGAATTCATTGCAGGCCCCGGGACTTGAACTATTTTGAAAATAACTCTCTCGTACTCACTTGAACGTGCACTTCACTGGAGTATTGGTTGACTTCACCCACAGGGAATAGGTCAAGAGAATTGATGGAATATCCTGCAGATGGCTGGGGGTGCTAGAGAGAACCAGGAAGGATCAGCTGGCTTAGCAGGAATTTTAGGAGCGACTGCTTCAACCAAACTTCTTTCTCAAGCATGCATTAAATCCCCACTGCCTCTCTCACAGGGTTAAGTGTGCGTAACGCTCACTTGAATTCCCTCAAGACATTTAGAAAAGACTAAAGTTGCACTGTTGTACTGTCTACACAGCCTGTTTCTTTATATAGCCCTTGTGATTTTCATCACAATGCATCAGTGTGTACTGTATAAGTTCTAACTCTATTGCCACACATATGATGTGCAGTTTTGGACAAATACATTTGACTATAGTTGGTGTAACTGAGCTAATAAAACACATACAAAATGTACATAAACATCCCTTACAAGTATATGGTGTAACAAAGTTCAAACCAATCAAGGATAAGACAAAAAAAGTCTGCCTTATTCCATTGTAGTTTAAAACACAATACTAAAGCTGAAGCTCTGCAACCACACTATTTGTCACGGCTCCGCCCTCAGATCCAGCTGCGTCGTTGGAGCGTGTGGAGAGGCAACGGGAGCGCTGGGAGAGACGCCAGCGGAGGAAGAGGAGGATACGCCAGCGTTCCATCAGCAGGGAGAAGTGGGTGGAAACGCTGGTGGTGGCCGATTCCAAGATGGTGGAGTACCACGGGACCAAGGGCGTGGAGAGCTACGTACTGGCTGTCATGAACATCGTAAGTGTCTGGTAGCCCTCTCTGTCTGTCTCACTGGGTTTTATTTTGGTAGGAGTTGGTTGGTGGATGTGGTCAGCAACACCAAAGCTGTGGGTTTGATTCCCACTATTACCAAATATGGGCTAGGGTGCTGTGTGTTAGCTGGAAGTAGCCTTTGGTCTGCTGAAATTCCCTTTTTTTATTTTCAGTGCAAACTTCTTGACCCTACTCTAATACTGTCCCACTAACTTGGTTATAGTTCAAGGGAATTAAGCGTCATAAAACTTGATTTACGCAATAGCTTCTTTGGTTAGGCAGGCTGCAGCCTTGACAGTCATTCTGTTGTCACTGTATGTACTGTAGGTTATGTAACATCCATGTCAATATCATCCAAAACATCCCAGCTTGGCTGGCTCAATACCTATGCTAGATGCTTCCATGTGTTCCACCCTCATCTCATCTCTGTTCTGTTAGTATTGTGACATCATGTTTTGTTTTATCGCTCCCTCCCCATGTACTGTAGCCTCATCCCTCTGTTTTATCGCTCCCTCCCCATGTACTGTAGCCTCATCCCTCTGTTTTATCTCTCCCTCCCCATGTACTGTAGCCTAATCCCTCTGTTTTATCTCTCCCTCCCCATGTACTGTAGCCTCATCCCTCTGTTTTATCTCTCCCTCCCCATGTACTGTAGCTTCATCCCTCTGTTTTATCGCTCCCTCTCCATGTACTGTAGCCTCATCCCTCTGTTTTATCTCTCCCTCCCATGTACTGTAGCCTCATCCCTCTGTTTTATCGTCTCCCTCCCCATGTACTGTAGCCTCATCCCTCTGGTTTTATCGCTCCCTCCCCATGTACTGTAGCCTCCTCCCTCTGTTTATCTCTCCCTCCCCCATGTACTGTAGCCTCATCCCTCTGTTTTATCTCTCCCTCCCCATGTACTGTAGCCTCATCCCTCTGTTTTATCGCTCCCTCCCCATGTACTGTAGCCTAATCCCTCTGTTTTATCTCTCCCTCCCCATGTACTGTAGCCTCATCCCTCTGTTTTATCTCTCCCTCCCCATGTACTGTAGCCTCATCCCTCTGTTTTATCTCTCCCTCCCCATGTACTGTAGCCTCATCCCTCTGTTTTATCTCTCCCTCCCCATGTACTGTAGCCTCATCCCTCTGTTTTATCTCTCCCTCCCCATGTACTGTAGCCTCATCCCTCTGTTTTATCGCTCCCTCCCCATGTACTGTAGCCTCATCCCTCTGTTTTATCGCTCCCTCCCCCATGTACTGTAGCCTCATCCCTCTGTTTTATCGCTCCCTCCCCATGTACTGTAGCCTCATCCCTCTGTTTTATCTCTCTCTTTTTCCAAATGACTACAACTTCCTGTGAACTGACCCTTGGTTTTTAGCACTTCCTGGACGGAGGCCAGACCAAGTAATCTGACCTCGTCCTCGCTCTATTGCTGTTGAGCGCATTAGGAAACTTTGAGCGCATTAGGAAAGGTTTGGTCCGGCTGCAGCTGCCAAGGAGGGCAAGCACAGGACGGCGTATGAGGAAAGGGGATTTCAATGACAGAGAGCTCCCCTGGCTTCACCGGATCTGGCGGACAATAAGAAGGACAGGAAACACACATTATCCTCCGCATCCTCTCAGGTGTCTTGTTTTTCAGTCTTGCAAACCTCTGCTTTGAACTCCACAGCCTCTTGTTATTGTGTCAACGGGAACTGAAGCGATCGTACAGTGAGTGAAGGGCAATTCCATGATAATGGAATTACACTGAGACTCCGATTTTATTTTCTCTTTAAAATGTACACCAAATAAAAACCATTTGATTTTCAAAGTTTAAAAAAAACATGGAACTCTATGCTGCGCAATCACTACTTTTAACAATTTCCACTAAACATTTTACAAAAACACATTGACAGTGTCACGGTTTCGGCCGAGGCTGCTCCTCCTCCTGGTTCGGGCAGGCTTCGGCGGTCGTCGTCCCCGGAGTACTAGCTGCCACCGATCTATGTTTCATGTTCGTTTGGTTTTGTCTGGATGTTGTACACCTGTGTCTTGTTAGTCCTCGTTAGTGTCCTATTTAGTTCTTGTTGTGTGTGATTGCGCTTCTGTTTCGTGTTTGGAGCTACATTTTCCCTCCAGTGTTTTGGAGAGGTTATTTTGCAAATGTTTGTGCGCCGTTTGTTTTGTCGCCTGTGTGCGCCGTGTATTCGCCTTCGGGCTTATTGTGCTTCTGTCTTCGATATATATTGCACTAAAGCCTTTGGACTGAGCCTCTGCGTCCTGCGCATGATTCATACACCACACCCACCTTCAGCACGCCTTGACAGAATCACACACCATAATGGAATCAGCAGGATCGGCAGTGACACCTGTGTCGCTCGAGGAGCATCTCCGTGGGCAAGAGGGCCAGATAAGACAACTGGAGACCGCTCTACAGGAGGTAATCAACACCTTGCACCGATGGGAGGCCAGCAGGGTACCCACACCTCCACCTACCCTGCCCACCCCATCGGTCGGTCCACCAGTCCCAGGTTCGGAACCCAGGGGGATTCGGCTCTCGCTCCCGAGGGCGTATGACGGAACAGCTGCCGGGTGTCAGGGGTTCCTCCTGCAGGTGGAGCTCTACCTGGCCACTGTACACCCGGTGCCCTCGGGATACGAGAGCGTTTCCGCCCTCATCTCCTGTCTCACGGGCAAGGCGTTGGAGTGGGCAAACGCCGAGTGGAGGAAGATGGACGCCAACACCATCACCTACGCCGAGTTCTCCCGCCGCTTCAAGGCCGTGTTCGACCATCCACCTGAGGGCAAAGCGGCGGGGGAGCGTCTAGTCCATTTGAGACAGGGGAAGAGGAGCGCTCAGGTGTTCGCTCTAGAGTACCGGACTCTAGCGGCGGATGCAGGGCGGAATGAACGGGCTCTCATCGACCATTTTCGATGTAGCCTACGAGAGGACGTTCAACGTGAGTTGGCCTGCAGGGATACCCATCTTACCTTCGACCAGTTGGTCGATATGTCCATCCGTCTGGACACCCTGCTGGCCACCCGTGGACGTCCCGACGGGAGTCCGTCCATTCCGCTCTCCGGCACCTCCGAGCCGAGCCCTATGGAGCTCGGGGGTGCCGGCGCTAGAAAACGGAGGAGGAGGAGGAGCCCGAGGGGGCCTGTCTCCTGCACCAAGTGCGGTCGTGGAGGGCACACTGCGGCCAGGTGCTGGGGAGGGTTCTCCGGGGGAGAAGACAACAGGCCACGCACTGGGGGGGCCTCCCAGGTGAGTAGACGTCCCACTTACCCAGAGCTTTCTGTTGCGCACTTTTGTATACCTGTTTGTTTTCCACAGGTTGCACCTCATTCCCAGCATAAGGCGCTAGTAGATTCAGGCGCAGCTGGGAATTTTGTTGATCGAAAGTTTTGTTTTGAGTTAGGGATCCCTCTCCTACCTGTTGACAAACCTTTTCCCGTTCATGCCTTAGATAGCCGCCCGTTGGGGTCGGGGTTGATCAGGGAGATCACAGCGCCACTTCGGATGTGTGCGCAGGGGGGTCATGAGGAGACTATACAGCTGTATCTGATCGACTCTCCTGCGTACCCAGTGGTGCTGGGGATTCCCTGGTTAAGCACCCATAACCCTGCTATTTCGTGGCAACAGAGGGCTCTCGATGGGTGGTCTGCTCAGTGCGAGGGGCGATGTCTGGGTGTTTCCGTGGGGGCGACTTCGGTGGAAAGTCCAAACCAAGTGCCCGCACTGCACATTCCGCCTGAATATGGGGATTTAGCTCTCGTGTTTAGCAAAACTAGGGCGACGCAGCTGCCTCCTCATAGACAGGGGGATTGTGCGATTGATCTCCAGGCAGGAGCAGCGCTCCCACGGAGCCATGTGTATCCTTTGTCTCAAGAGGAGAGAAAAGCTATGGAGACTTACATAGCCAAATCTTTGAGACAGGGATACATTCGGCCCTCCACTTCTCCCGCCTCCTCGAGCTTCTTTTTTGTGAAAAAGAAAGATGGAGGGTTGCGCCCGTGCATTGATTACCGTGGTCTCAATCAGATTACTGTGAAATACAGTTATCCACTCCCTCTGATTGCGACCATGACGGAGTCATTGCATGGAGCGTGGTTTTTCACAAAACTGGATCTCAGGAGCGCGTATAACTTGGTGCGCATTAGGGAGGGTGACGAATGGAAGACAGCGTTTAGTACCACGTCAGGTCATTTCGAATATCTCGTCATGCCATATGGGTTGATGAATGCTCCATCAGTCTTCCAATCCTTCGTAGATGACATTTTCAGGGATATGCAGGGACAAGGGGTGGTCGTGTATATTGATGACATTCTGGTGTACTCGTCTACCCGAGCCGAGCATATAACCCTGGTGCGTCGTGTATTGAGGAGGCTGTTGGAGCACGACCTATATGTCAAGGCAGAGAAATGTCTGTTTTTCCAGGAGTCGGTCTCCTTTTTGGGTTATCGGTTGTCCGCGTCAGGGGTGAGAATGGAGGTGGATCGTGTGTCCGCTGTGCGTAATTGGCAAACCCCAACTACTGTAAAAGAGGTGCAGCAGTTTTTGGGCTTTGCGAATTACTACCGGAGGTTTATCCGGGGTTTTGGACAGGTGGCAGCTCCCATCACGTCCCTTCTGAAGGGGGGTCCGGTGCGCCTGCAGTGGTCAGCCGATGCGGACAGGGCCTTTAGGAGACTGAAGGACTTGTTTACGTCGGCTCCGGTGCTGGCGCATCCGGATCCCGCATTACCCTTTCAGGTCGAGGTAGACGCGTCTGAGGCTGGTATAGGGGCCGTTCTCTCTCAACGGTCCGGCACGCCACCTAAACTCCGCCCCTGTGCTTTTTACTCAAAGAAGCTCAGCCCGGCGGAGCGTAACTATGACGTTGGGGACAGGGAGCTGTTAGCTGTAGTTCAAGCCCTTAAGGTGTGGAGGCATTGGCTTGAGGGGGCTCAACACCCTTTCCTCATTTTGACTGACCATCGGAACCTGGAGTACATCCGGGCAGCGAGGAGACTGAACCCTCGCCAGGCTCGATGGAGTATGTTTCTCACCAGGTTCGTATTTAAAATCACGTACATCCCTGGGTCCCAGAATGGTAAGGCGGATGCGCTGTCCCGGCGGTATAACACTGAGGAGAGGTCCGTTGAGCCCACTCCCATACTACCGGAGTCTTGCCTTGTGGCACCGGTGGTGTGGGAGGTCGATGCCGAAATCGAGCGAGCGTTGCGTACCGACCCCAGCCCTCCACAGTGTCCTGAGGGTCGGAAGTACGTTCCGCTCGAGATTCGGGATCGACTCATTTACTGGGCTCACACGTCACCCTCCTCTGGACATCCGGGTATCGGCCGGACGGTGCATTGCCTTAGCACTAAATACTGGTGGCCCACTTTGGCTAGGGATGTGAGGGTTTATGTCTCCTCCTGCTCGGTGTGTGCCCAGTGTAAGGCGCCCCGACATCTGCCCAGGGGTAAGTTACAACCCCTGCCCGTTCCACAACGACCATGGTCCCACCTATCGGTGGATTTTGTGACAGACCTTCCCCTCTCTCAGGGGAATACCACCATCCTGGTCGTTGTGGACCGGTTCTCGTCTTCTCCCTATGTCGGGTCTTCCTACTGCCCTACGGACCGCTGAGGCCCTATTTACCCACGTCTTCCGGCATTACGGGGTACCCAAGGATATAGTGTCTGATCGAGGCCCCCAGTTTACCTCTCGTGTGTGGAGAGCGTTCATGGAGCGTTTGGGGGTCTCGGTTAGCCTTACCTCAGGGTACCACCCGGGTACCACCCGGAGAGTAACGGGCAGGTAGAACGTGTCAACCAGGATGTGGGTAGGTTTCTGAGGTCGTATTGCCAGGACCGGCCGGAGGAGTGGGCACGGTACATTCCCTGGGCCGAGATGGCCCAGAACTCTCTCCGCCACTCCTCTACTAACCTAACCCCTTCCAATGTGTGTTAGGTTACCAGCCGGTTCTGGCACCTTGGCAGCAGAGCCAGATCGAGGCCCCTGCGGTGGATGATTGGATGAGGCGCTCGGAAGAGACGTGGAACGCTGCCCACGTCCACCTGCAGCGGGCCGTCCTTCGTCACAAGGCGAGCGCCGATCTCCACCGCAGTGAGGGGCCGGTGTACGCACCCGGAGATCGAGTCTGGCTCTCTACCAGGAACCTACCCCTCCGCCTGCCCTGCCGGAAGCTGGGTCGGCGGTTTGTGGGGCCCTTTAAAGTCCTGAGAAGATTGAACGAGGTGTGTTATAGGTTACATCTACCTGTTGAGTATAAGAATATTAACCCCTCGTTCCATGTGTCTCTTCTCAGGCCGGTGGTAGCTGGTCCACTCCAGGATAATGAGATAGGGGAGACTCCTCCGCCCCCACTGGACATCGAGGGGGCTCCGGCGTACACCGTTCGGTCCATCTTGGACTCTAGACGCCGGATGGGGGGTCTCCAGTATCTCGTGGAGTGGGAGGGGTACGGCCCGGAGGAGCGGTGCTGGGTGCCGCGGAGGGACATCCTAGACCCATCTCTCCTGTCGGAGTTCCACCGGGACCATCCCGCGCGCCCTGCTCCGCGTCCTCCTGGTCGTCCCCGAGGCCGGGGTCGGCGCACGGCTGGAGCCGCGCGTCAAGGGGGGGGGTACTGTCACGGTTTCGGCCGAGGCTGCTCCTCCTCCTGGTTCGGGCAGGCTTCGGCGGTCGTCGTCCCCGGAGTACTAGCTGCCACCGATCTATGTTTCATGTTCGTTTGGTTTTGTCTGGATGTTGTACACCTGGGTCTTGTTAGTCCTCGTTAGTGTCCTATTTAGTTATTGTTGTGTGTGCTTGTCGTTGTGTGTGATTGCGCTTCTGTTTCGTGTTTGGAGCTACATTTTCCCTCCAGTGTTTTGGAGAGGTTATTTTGCACATGTTTGTGCGCCGTTTGTTTTGTCGCCGTGTATTCGCCTTCGGGCTTATTGTGCTTCTGTCTTCGATATATATTGCACTAAAGCCTTTGGACTGAGCCTCTGCGTCCTGCGCATGATTCATACACCACACCCACCTTCAGCACGCCTTGACAGACAGTCCTTGTGCATAGAGTTCTATGGTTTGTTAAACTGTGAAAAATCTGAGTCTCGTAATTCCGTTGCCATGGAATTTCCCTGAAGCAAAACAAACAGATGGCATTATCTTCCTCAGGAGACGCAGGAGCTTTCTTTCCATTGTGTGAGGGCGGCCATTTTGAAACTCATTAAAAGGGTGAAGAAAGATGGTCTTTCGACAGCTCTCGCTTGATGCTGTCCGTCTATCTTCTGTGGGATGCTGTCTTCAAACTACATTGACATGCAGGATGACAAAGAGTATTTAAATATTCCAAAAAGTTATAATTGTGTTTTGGGTTAATAATTCTCTTTTTCATATCAAATGAAATGCAGCTAGTGTGAGAGAAATGTGTCTCGATGATGATCTAAACTACAGGTATTTTTATTCTAAGCGTTACAAGGACAGATAAATTGGTTGTGTGCGGTTTAACTTCAAAAGGCCTTTCATGTTGTGAGCCGTTTGGACCATACCTAGTATGATAGACCAGTTTGTTCATTTGGGTACACGGCAGGGCAGCAGGCACAAAGCCTATTTGAGTTCCAGTGCAGTGCTATTTGTTCAGCTATGCGTTTCATCTCTTTTAAACTGAAGGCTTTCCCTGCCTTTGGCAGCGGAGAAAGTACTGGGACTCAGGGACAAATAGCATTTATATGATGAAAGAGTCCCTTCATACATTGTGCTGGTGATATGCTGTCTGCAATGTCACTGTGACAAAGCCCTGCCTGCAGAGTTAGTGCTGTGTGGAATGCTTTGCACACCAACAAGGGATGGGAGTGGATTCCAATGTGACCAATGTCAGGATATTTTTTTCACACAACATCCAAACAACGTCAAAAAGTAAACATCAATAAAGAAAATGTACGCTCATATTGTTTCCACGGAGGGGATCCCAATGTGACCAATGTCAGGGGAATTTTTTCAAATCATTGGAACTCAGTTCATAATATCAGCTCAGCTCAAAATTTCCAAGTCATATTATTCAATATCCACATAAGGTTGAGGTTTGATGAGCCTTTGTAACGTTCACTCTACCAACTTCTGGTCCTAAAGCAGACGAAGTAGGCCTAATAATTTGATACGTTTGACCACCACTGTATGTATCGGTAATGACTCATTTTCTCAAGCGTGAAATCCAAAAGCTTTGGTCCGTGACCACAATGCATCACTCTGACCAATGATGACTCAATGGAGAAGGTAAATATGACTCCGTGTTGTGAACCCTGGAGAGCTACCGTCCTGTAGGTTTTCACTCCAGCCCTAATCTACCCCACCTGATTGTAATAATTAGCTGGTTGATTAGCTGAATCAGGTTAGTTACAACTGGGGTTGGAGTATAAACCTACAGGACGGTAGCTCTCCAGGAACAGGGTTGGTACCAATACTGAAGTGTGATACTTCACGCAGCGTTTCTGGATAGATATAACTTTAGGTAACCACTTGTAGCTGTCACCAACGGCTTCAAGAGTAACCGCGCAATTCTGTAGATGGACTACATCAAGACAGCAGTCCTTCACGCATCTATTTTGTATGTCTACTTCTTCCCGTCAGACAGGTCCATTATTTTAAGTTATCATCACACCAAATCATAACAGGAAAGGTATTAGCATTGGGTCCTTGACTTCAAAGCATAACGAGGACTAAAAGTAACCCTGAAAGAGTTAGGGCTGATGAACCAGTCTAAAAATAACCCTGAAAGAGTTAGGGCTGATGTACCAGTCTAAAAATAACCCTGAAAGAGTTAGGGCTGATGTACCAGTCTAAAAGTAACCCTGAAAGAGTTGGGGCTGATGAACCAGTCTAAAAGCATAAGTAACCCTGGAAGAGTTAGGGCTGATTTAAACCAGTCTAAATGCATTAGCCAGCACTTGGCTCAAACACATTAGTAGTCTGCTGCCATGAGCCTACCTCCTCCTGGAGAAGGGAGACAGTTCTTAGTGAAAATGAGCTCTCGCTTTCTATTTACCCAGGCACCCTAGCACCCAGTCAGTGAGCCTCCTGAGCCCCTTCTTAATGTAGGACTAGACACCATAAAGCTTGGTGTGTGCGTATTAAGATGTGACCTGAAAACGGAGGTGTGTGGGTGGCTGCCTCCCCCAAGATGTTGCTAATCAGCCAGGGTGAAAGCTGCTGCTGCTACAGTTGGTTGTTTGTTGTTTCCAGAAAATCAAAGGAACCCTTAATTCACTACAACAGCTTGAGAGATAACAGGGAGCGAGGGATGGATGAAAGGAATGAGAAGAGAGCGGGAAGGTGTGTGTGTGTGTGTATAGAGATTTGCCAAATACCTAAAGAAAAGCAGTATTATACCCTCCTGAAAAAGGGAAATGTGTAATTCAAATAACCTGGCCATCTGTCTCCTGAACTGAAAAGATGGAAAATGTTTAGACTGTAATCTGCCGAAGTGAGAACCGTGGATGTTGTTTTCTGCATCACATTGTTGCTTAGGAGAAATGTGAGCAAAGTTGTTATCAATCATTCTTTTGTGTTTTCTAGAAACTACGTTTCTGAATAATGGATTTTCCAGACAGACTCATGTATAACTAATCATCACTGTCTGCTTTGCCAGTGTGGTAGGAAACATTCCTAAGTAGACAAGATAGTCCATTATTTATAATGATTGTGATATACCTCATATGAACTGTATACTGTGGTCTCAATAAAATAGAACACAACAGAATGGTACTGGATTGACTATTTGTTGAGAAGGAAAACTTTTTGCCCCAACCCACTGAGTCACGTGCTAAATCATGTCCATTCTGTTTCAGGTGTCAGGGTTGTTTCGTGATGCCAGCATTGGAAACCCCATCAACATCGTAGTGGTTCGTCTGATCCTGCTGGAGAAGGAAGAGGTGATAGAATCACAAAGCTCTGCACGTTACAAACACTGTTAGCCAAGTCATTGGAGCTCCGTTTAAAAGTCAGATTTACTGAATCAGTGTTGAAAGACTTACAAACGGTTCAGTTGTGACATCAAATTACATTTACATTACATTTTAGTATTTTAGCAGACGCTCTTATCCAGAGCGACTTACAGTTAGTGAGTGCATACATTTTTTTCATACTGGCCCCCCGTGGGAAACGAACCCACAACCCTGGCGTTGCAAGCGCCATGCTCTACCAACTGAGCTACACAGGGCCACAAATGACTGCCAGATCTTAATGACAATGACCCTTAATCTTATCCTAAAACAAAACTGCCAGACTGACCACATCAAGATATTTTAATACCCCCCAAAAAAGTAGCACAGATAGATAATTATGAATTGATTACAAATCCTAACTCAAGTAGGCTGCAATAACAGATTCAAATGGCTTGAGGCCCAGTGTCATACCAGGAAATGGAATATGTGACGCACATTGTGAAGATGGAACTGCATGATGACGCGAAGTTAAGTTGCCTTTCTTGGAGTCGAGACAAAATTCCACTCTTGTTAAAACTAGTGTGTATCATCATCATGTCTTGTCGCTTAAAGAAGCAGTTTTGCTCTTGGTAATTGGTTTAAACTAGTTCCAATGTCATTTTCCCTGAACAATAAAATAATATGATTAGTTTGTGTAATGATGTAAATTCTGACTACAGGCCTATTGCACTGCAAAATTGTAGAGATATTCTCCAATTTACTTTGTTGGTGGAGGGGGTGATAACAGAGGAGCTCATTAGCGAGAGAATGAAAGAGAGAGATGGATAGCGCTAGCCCCATCTGACTCCTCTACGCTACATTTCCCCCTTCAGCCTTGTCGTCATCATAGCCAGGGCCTCAGTTACATCCTTCAAACAGCATTTCACATCAGAACACCATTAGCCTCTTCTCATATTTGTCTCCCAGCGTAGGAAGAATAAGCCCCTTACGCCCTGAAACAAATCTCTGAAGCCTTGGTCGCGGTTAGTGGCTAATGGTAATAATGTAGTCTGAGAAAGGGCATGTAGGGTAAGTTTCCTAACCATTCCTTAACCGGATCTTATCTAACTGTTCTAGGTGTCTCTGTTTTAGTGTCTATACTATGAAAAAGGTTGTAGTAGAAAAAATAATTTGGGTGCCAGGTTCAAAAGGCATACATTTGAAATAAAGGGAAAAACCTGCATTCAGTGGAATATTCTTAACGTTTTTATGTATTTTTTTTTTAAGGAGCAGAGGTCAGAACAAACGGATACGTTTCGGCGACAACCTTCGTCAAACGCTGACTAAGCCTATCGCCAAAACACTGAGTGCTGGTTTTTCCATTTTTCAAATGTAGTGTCTAGACGTTGACCCAACCATATAGTCTAGGTTCCCTTTTCCTATTGGTCGGCATAGCTACTAGACTGTCAATGTTTACATCCCTGCAGAGGAAAGTATGTGGTTGGCCATAATATGGCTCTCACTTGGTTGTCACTATCTCATCATGCTTGAAAGTGCACATTTTGAACCTTAAATGCAATTTTAACTCCTAAAGGTAACTCTTCATCAAGAGCTAATAGCTCAAAGATACGACAATATGGCCAATTTGTTCCTTTCTAGAATGGTTGTCTAGCAGAAACAATCTCCCAGCAACATCTTTTAAATGCCTCTAAAGCAGTGATGTAGTGGTAAACAAAATAATTGGTGGGTAAACTCTCCGGTTGTAATGCTTCCTATTCTTTCAATGCATTTCTCCACAAAAGGTGTGTACATTGTGTTTACTGGAACACTGCTATAAAGGGACCAGACAAACGTCTCACAACCAGAAAACCAGTTTACGTCCAGAAAATGTCATTATGACTTCACATGCCATAAGCTACAAAGCTTTTGGAAAGCTCACCCCTGTTCATGAAGGTATCTGATGTGTCATTGTCTAACGTAACGATGACATCCCTGTGGTTGGCAGGGAGACCTGAAGATCACCCACCACGCGGACAACAGCCTGAGCAGCTTCTGTAAGTGGCAGAAACGGCTCAACATGAAGGGAGAAGAACACGCGGTCCATCACGACGTGGCCGTCCTTCTCACCAGGTAACCAGTGACGCATCCACACACCAGGGCTGAATTCCATTTGCAGTCTATTGGGGAGAGGATGTACAGTTGAAGTCGGAAGTTTACATACACCTTAGCCAAATACATTTAAACTCAGTTTTTCACAAATCCTGACATTTAATCCTAGTAAAAATTCCATGTCTTAGGTCAGTTAGGATCACCACTTTATTTTAAGAATGTGAAATGTCAGAATAATAGTTGAGGGAATGATTTATTTCAGCTTTTATTTATTTCATCACATTCCCAGTGGGTCAGAAGTTTACATACACTCAATTAGTATTTGGTAGCATTGCCTTTAAATTGTTTAACTTGGGTCAAAGCTTCCCACAATTAGTTGGGTGAATTTTGGCCCATTCCTCCTGACAGAGCTGGTGTAACTGAGTTAGGTTTGTAGGCCTCCTTTCTCGCACACGCTTTTTAAGTTCTGCCCACACATATTTTATAGGATTGGGGTCAGGGCTTTGTGATGGCCACTCCAATACCTTGACTTTGTTGTCCTTAAGCCATTTTGCCACAACTTTGGAAGTATGCTTGGGGTCATTGTCCATTTGGAAGACCCATTTGTGACCAAGCTTTAACTTCCTGACTAATGTCTTGAGATGTTGCTTCAATATATCCACCTAATTTTCCTTCCTCATGATACCATCTATTTTGTGAAGTGCACCAGTCCCTCCTGAAGCAAAGCACCCACACAGCATGATGCTGCCACCCCCGTGCTTCACGGTTGGGATAGTGTTCTTCGGCTTGCAAGACACCACCTTTTTCCTCCAAACATAACAATGGTCATTATGGCCAAACAGTTCTATTTTTGTTTAATCAGACCAGAGGACATTTCTCCAAAAAGTACGATCTTTGTCCCCATGTGCAGTTGCAAACCGTAGTCTGGCTTTTTTATGGCGGTTTTGGAGCAGTGGCTTCTTCCTTGCTGAGCGTTCTTTCAGGTTATGTCGATATAAGACTAGTTTTACTGTCGATATAGATACTTTTGTACCTTTTTCCTCCAGCATCTTCACAAGGTCCTTTGCTGTTGTTCTGGGATTGATTTGCACTTTTCGCACCAAAGTACGTTCATCTCTAGGAGACAGAACGCGTCTCCTTCCTGAGCAGTATGATGGCTGCGTGGTCCCATGGTGTTTATACTTGCGTACTATTGTTTGTACAGATGAACGTGGTACCTTCAGGCGTTTGGAAATTGTTTCCAAGGATGAACCAGACTTGTGGAGGTCTACAATTCTTTTTCTGAGGTCTTGGCTTTCTTTGGATTTTCCCATGATGTCAAGCAAAGAGGCACTGAGTTTGAAGGTAGGCCTTGAAATACATCCACAGGTACACCTCCAATTGACTCTAATGATGAAAATTAGCCTATCAGAAGCTTCTAATGCCATGACATCATTTTCTGGAATTTTCCAAGCTGTTTAAAGGCCCAGTCAACTTAGTGTATGTAAACTTCTGACCCACTGGAATTGTGAAACAGTGAATTATAAGTGAAATAATCTGTCTGTAAACAATTGTTAGAAAAATTACTTGTGTCATACACAAAGTAGATGTCCTAACCAACTTGCCAAAACTATAGTTTGTTAACAAGAAATATGTGGTGTGGTTGAAAGAACGAGTTTTAATGACTCCAACCTAAGTGTATGTAAACTTCCGACATCAACTGTATACTGAACAAAAATATAAACGCAACATGCAACAATTTAAAAGAGTTTACTGACTTACAGTTCATATAAGAAAATCAGTCAATTGAAATAAATTAATTATGCCATAATCTATGGATTTCACATGAATGGGCAGAGGTGCAGCCATGGGTGGGCCTGGGAGGGTATAGGCCCACCCACTTGGCAGCCAGGCCCACCCACTGGGGCCAGGCCCACCCACTAAGGGGCTTTATTACAGACAGAAATACTCCTCAGCACAACCCCCCAACCCCCTCAGACGATCCCGCAGGTGAAGAAGCCGGATGTGGAGGTCCTGGGCTGGCGTGGTTACACGTGGTCTGCGGTTGTGAGGCCGGTTGGAAATACTGCCAAATTCTCTAAAATGACGTTGGTGGCAGCTTGAACATTAAATTCTATGGCAACAGCTCTGGTGGACATTCCTGCAGTCAGCATGCCAATTGCATGCTCCCTCAACTTGAGACATCTGTAGCATTGTGTTGTGTGACAAAACTGCACATTTTAGAGTGATCTTTTATTGTCCCCAGCACAAGGTGCACCTGTGTAATGATCATGCTGTTCAATCATCTTCTTGATATGCCACACCCGTCAGGTGGATGCGTTATCTTGCCAAAGGAGAAATGCTCACTAACAAGAATGTATACAAATCTGTGCACAAAATCTGAGAGAAATAAGCTTTTTGTGCGTATGGAACATTTCAGTGATTTTTTTTTTTCAGCTCATGAAACATGGGACCAACACTTTAAATTTATATTTTTGTTCAGTGTACATTCGATGCACTCTCCTCTCCTTACTTGTGCTTTCTGAACAGTAGTAGTTATTGGTGCAGTCCTTGAAGCTGAAGGAAGTGTACCGTCCTCCTTTCAAGCATTCGATGTCCTCTTTTTTTTATTTTCTTTCTAATTGCCTAACATTGATTTCTCCTCACCATTCTGTCATGGAGGACAGTCCTTTTCAAACCATGTAACTGTAACAAAACAGCCTTGAGATCCTTCGCCTACCTTCCCCTCCCATTGATGGCCTGTTATTATCCATTGTGTTTTACCACCCAGAAACTCGTTGTAATTTCCATTGTTAATTGAATAGACCTTAATTTCTTCCTCCCTCGCTCCATCTCTTTCCACTCAAAGCCACTCATTAATCCACAACTCTTTTGTTTGACGAACTAGTTCAATTAGAGGCTTCACCAGAACTTGAATTTGAGCAGCGCAACAACAAGAATATTTGCAGAGATTTGGTGACCTTTTTCAGATGGTAGTTGGGAGCTCCTGAGTTGGGCTTTTCTGCAACTGTGTTAATTAATTAGCTTTTCCCCTTCATGTCTTAAAGTAACGATGAACTGTCGTTTCGTTTTGCTTATTTGAGCTGCTCTTGCCATAATATGGACTTTGGTCTTTTACCAAATAGGACTATCTTCTGTATACACCCCCTGCCTTGTCACAGCACTGCTGATTGGCTCAAACGCAGAGACTTATCCATCCGGTCATGCTCTTGATAGATGCAGCACATTAAACATGTCAAAAGTAGGAAGTGTCACTTTTCTATCGAAGCCCTCAGTACCGATGATGTTAAAGCTCATTGTTGTGCTCTTTACTGCAATGTTTCAGTCCTGCTCTCCCTCCCTCTTCCTCCTTTTCCCTCTCCTTCTCTCCCTCTCTCCTCTCCTCCTTTTCCCTCTCCTCTCCCTCCTCCTTCTCTCCCTCCCTCCTCTCCTCCTTTTCCCTCTACTCTCCTCCTCTCCTTCTCTCCCTATCCTCCTCTCCTCAGAAAGGACATCTGTGCGGCCATCAATAAGCCATGTGAGACCCTGGGCCTGTCTCATGTAGCGGGCATGTGTCAGCCCCACCGCAGCTGCAGCATCAGTGAGGACACGGGCCTGCCGCTGGCCTTCACCGTCGCCCACGAGCTTGGGCACAAGTAAGTGTTGGGCACATGGACACACACACACACACACTCACACTCTGACACCACACCTCCATATAACTTTCTGTCACATGGTTGGATGTGTCACATGGTTGGATGTGTCACATGGTTGGATTTGTCATCTTCTTTGCTATTACAGGTTGAATGTTAAGTGTTAGTGCCTTCACAAAGTATTCATACCCCTTGACTTATTACACATTTTTGTTGTGTTACAGCCTGAATTCAAATTGGATGAAATATTTTTTTAAAAATCTCACCCATCTACACACACTGCCCCATAATGGCAAAGTGAAAACATGTTTTTATAAATGTTTGCTAAATTATTGGAAATGAAGTACATATCTAATTTGCATAAGTATTCACACCCCTGAGTCAATACTTTGTAGAAGCACCTTTGGCGGCGGTTACAGCTTTGAGTCGTCTTGGGTATGTCTGTATCAGCTTTACACATCTGGATTTGGGGATTTTCTCCCATTCTTCCTTGCAGATTTTCTCCAACTCTTAAATTACATGGGGAGAGGCAGTGAACAGCAGTCTTCCAGTCTTTCCACAGATTTTCAATGGGATTCAAGTTTGGGCTTTGGCTGGGCCACTCAAGGACTTAAACATTCTTGTTCTGAAACTATTCCAGCGTTGCTTTGGTTGTGTGCTTGCGGTCATTGTCCTGTTGGAACGTAAATATTTGCCCCAGTCTTAAGTCGTTTGCACTCTGAAGTAGGTTCTCATCAAGGATGTGGCTGTATTTGGCTCCATTCATTGTTCCTTCTATCCTTACCAGTCTCCCAGTCCCTGCCACTGAAAAGTATCCCCATAGCATGATGCTGCCACCACCATGCTTCACGGTAGGGAAGGTGTTAGACGGGTGATGATCTCTGCCTGGTTTTCTCCAGACATAGCGCTTTGCATTCAGGCCAAAGAGTTACATTTTTGTCTCATCAGACCATAGAATCTTTTGCCTTATTATCTCAGTCTTTCAGGAGTGGCTTCGGTCTGGCCTCTCTCCCATAAAACCCAGATTGATCAAGTGCTGTAGAGACTGTTGTCCTTCTGGCAGGTTCTCCCATCTCAGCCAATGAACTCTGTAGTTCTGTCAGTGGTTATTGGGTCACCTCCCTGACCAAGGTCCTTCTTGCCCGGTTGCTCAGTTTGGTCGGACGGCCAGCTCTAGGCAGAGTCTGGGTAGTTCCATGTTTTTTTCCATTTCCCAATGATGGAGACCATTGTGCTCTTGGAAACTTTTAACACTCTAAAATTGTTTTATACCTTTCCCCAGATATACAGTGGTCTCCAAAAGGATTGGAACAGTGACACATTTGTTGTTGTTTTGGCTCTGTACTCCAGCACTTTGGATTTGAAATGATACAATGACTATGAGGTCAAACCCCCAAGACATTCTAACCTCTCAACATTTCAGTTACAACCGGGAAGGTTAGCATTTTTGGGAGGGTATGATATTTGTGCGTCTAACTTTCTCACTCATTATTCACGATTCATCCAGGATTATCCTTAATCATGGTAGCATCCACATTAATGTAGAAGTGTTTAGAAACATATTATACTTATAATCTCAAATGACACTACATTATTTACCATTAATTTCTATTGGGCACAAAATAATCTGAAACACAACCAAAACAAACAGCAAATGCATCCAACAAATATGTAGACTCACAAGTTTGATTCAGGCATTACGTGCTATGAATATGGGATAAAAAATGTAACTTTTTACTACTTGAATACATATATAAGTGAATTTGTCCCAATACTTTTTGTCCCTTAAAATTGGGGGACTGTCCCAGCCCAACTGTGTACAAAAAGTGTTGTAACGGTTCACCCGATATGGACGAAAATACCCTTAAACTAACGCTGACAGTCTTTAGTTTAAGGGTACAGAGCCAAAATAACAAATGTGTCACTGTCTCAATACTTTTGGAGCACACTGTATGCCTCATCACAATTCTATCTCGGAGATCTGCGGACAGTTCCTTCATGGTATAGTTTCTGCTCTGACATGCACTGTCAGCTGTGGGACCTTATATAGACAGGTGTGTTTATTTCTAAATCAAGTCCAAACAATTGAATTGGCCACAGATGGACTCCAATCAAGTTGTATTGACATCTCAAGGATGTTCAAAGGAAGCTAAATTTGGAGCCTCATAGCAAAGGAGTGTGAATACTTATGTAAATGAGATATTTGTATTTCATTTTCAATACATTTGCTAAAATGTCTAAAAACATGTTGTTGTTTTTTTACTTTTTCAGTATGGGGTATTGTGTGTAGATGGTTGAGAAGAAAAATATGTAATCCTTTTTTAAATTCAGGCTGTGACACAACAAAATGTGGAATAAGTCGAGGGGTATGCATACTTTCTGAAGGCACTCAATGTGTCATGTGTTTGAATGTCTGGGGCTATCAATCAAGAAGACAATTTAATTGAAATTTGAATGGCTTGACGTCTAGATTTGACAATTAATGAGCAATTAAGTCCATCAAATACCCAATTATCTGCTTACAGTTTATTCTGCATGAAATGATTTACAGTGGCACACAAAATGGTCCTTGCTGCGACAGTATTTGAATTATTAATTCAATAATTCTCACATATTGTTAGTCAATTTACTAGGACTAAATTAGTTCACAGAACAAAACGCCCAATTAATTTAAGATTAGTGCATCAGAGTGGGTATTGATTTTGCACATGGCATATTCTCTGCCCTCTTTCTCAAGCAATCAGATTCAGTATAGGCAAACATGTTAACCAGCACTCCAATGTTTAATGCATTAAATGGATTACATTATCATATATACCATATTTACATTCTGCTTTTGCATAAAATGTAAGGCCTGTGACTGTGCACAGGGATTCTCTAAATCATTAACTTACTAGCTAAACATACATAGAACATCTAATTGAACAAACATAATTTCTTCCTCTCTGAATATTTCATGTTTCTGTTATATCAGCAAACACATTCTACCCGCTGTGATGCATTCCGCGTCATTGAGTACCTGTTGTTCTTTGACTCAGTACCTGTTGTTCTTTGACACATTCTACCCGCTGTGATGCATTCCGCGTCATTGAGTACCTGTTGTTCTTTGACTCAGTACCTGTTGTTCTTTGACACATTCTACCCGCTGTGATGCATTCCGCGTCATTGAGTACCTGTTGTTCTTTGACTCAGTACCTGTTGTTCTTTGACACATTCTACCCGCTGTGATGCATTCCGCGTCATTGAGTACCTGTTGTTCTTTGACTCAGTACCTGTTGTTCTTTGACACATTCTACCCGCTGTGATGCATTCCGCGTCATTGAGTACCTGTTGTTCTTTGACTCAGTACCTGTTGTTCTTTGACACATTCTACCCGCTGTGATGCATTCCGCGTCATTGAGTACCTCTTGTTCTTTGACTCAGTTGTTTTCAGTGATGAGAGTACTCACTGGGCACAAACTGGTTGAATCAATGTTTTTTCGACGTCATTTGCCAACGTATTGTGACGTGGAATCTACGTGGAAAATTCATTTGGATTAAAAAAAAAGTATATACGCAAACTGTTGTATCGAGAGTGAGATTTCAACCACAGGATTATGTCATCATGGTCACCAAATTTCAACATATTGAAAACTTGTATACAATATATTGAATTTGTACCTTTTTAAAACAACGTCAGATCTTCAACGTTATTTCCACTATCAGAAGAAAAAAAAAAGCTATAGGCTGGGCAGCACTTCCTGCTGGAGAGTTGATCTATCTACAGCTTCCCTTTGGTCTCCTATCCAGGGTTTTAACCAAGCCCAGCCCTGCTTAGCTTTGATATTTGTTACTGACTATTACCAATGTGCTATTGTGACAATTATTTTTAGATCCCCACTTAACAACTAAATAGATTCACTGTTGCTATCGACATCAAAGGGTAGGTTTAACAGAGCAAATGAAATGTCATATCACTCATATTGTCAATTATGCTATTTAGGCCTATATAGCGTTTTGCAAAGTCATCAACAGCTATTGTTTTAATTCAACCCAGGATTCAACACAAAATAAACAGTACAATAGGCCTAGGGTTTCAAGCTCTGGTTGATTTCAAATGTAATGATATTTAGTGATATTGTTTGTGTCACGATCGTTCAAGGAAGTGACGGACCAAGGCGCAGCGTGGTAAGCGTACATTTTATTTAATTAACGTACTTAACACACACGAACAAAAACAACAAACCAAACGATACGTGAAGTCCTAGGTTAACACCAAAACAAACCATACGGAACAAGATCCCACAATGACTAGTGCCAAACATGCTGCCTAAGTATGGTCCCCAATCAGAGACAACGAGAAACAGTTGCCTCTGATTGGGAACCACCCTGGCCAACATAGATCTACACGATCTAGATCAACAACATAGAAAATACAACAGACACTACACACCCTGGCTCAACATTAAAGAGTCCCCAGAGCCAGGGCGTGACAGTACCCCCCCCCCCCCCCCCCAAAGGCGCGGACTGCGACCGCGCCACACAAACACAAGAGGGTAGGGGCCGGGTGGGCATTCCGCCTCGGAGGCAGATCCGGCTTCGGGCGTGACCACCACCTTTTCTCCACCTCCCCGTTGCGCCCCTGGTCTGGTCTGGCCCCGCTGACTGGAGCTGGACTGGACACCGGTGGAGCGGATTGCTCAGGCTCCGGAGTGGAGCAGCTGACCGGTGCCGGACCAGGCACCGGTGGAACAGGCACAGGCCGTGCCGGACTGGACACACGCACCACTGGCTTGGTGCGGGGAGCAGGAACGGGCCGGACCGGGCTGACGATGCGCACCACTGGCCTGGTGCGGGGAGCAGGAACGGGCCGGACCGGGCTGACGACGCGCACCACTGGCCTGGTGCGGGGAGCAGGTACGGGCCGGACCGGGCTGACGACGCGCACCACTGGCTTGGTGCGGGGAGCAGGAATGGGCCGGACCGGGCTGACGACGCGCACCACTGGCTTGGTGCGGGGAG